CCGCTTACTGCAACATTCTTTCGAAGTTCTCCTCGCTCGTTTCATTCTCGACTGTGAAGAGATCTATTTCAACCCCTAATAAGCCATCATTCATTAATGAAGAACATGCATATAGGAACTAGGAGTTGAAAAAAGAATAGCAAAAGGCCATACTAGTGCCACAAGAGTTGGGAGAGAGTACTTGGGGAGAAACAAAAGAGAAGAGTGGGCCAAGTGTATGTGTGAACTTTCCCCCCCTAAGCATGTGGAATGATACCCTTTTGTCAATACAATAATACTCTCTCAACTCACACATTAGATTGGCTATGACAGATACATATCATATAGGAGAGAAGATGGTTAGTTTAATGTATAAAAGGCTGCATCTTTGAATTCCACACATCATGACCAAACTTTTAACTATATTATGGAAGCTAGAGAGAGAAAAAAAAAAGCTAAGGCATCATCGTATTGTGTACAATGAAGGCCAAATGATCATCGAAAGTCAAGCATATCAGGCGCCTATATCTAGCTAGCTAAAAGAGTGTGGGGAAAAAGAAAGGTCTGCAACTGCAAGCTATTGGCCAGGAGATGGGAGCTGGCTTGACCGGCGGCCGCCCAATGATTCTAATTAACTACCTTGTTATAAAGAAGGTGGAAAAATGGCTCACAAATGCCATATGCAGCCGTCAATCCCATGTGAAGCTGTTGTGGTTTCTGGGTTCACATATATATAGTAGTTTGGATATGTAAAAAGGAATATCTTGTTGATTTGTGGAAAACCAGAACTATCATCATCACCATCTCGAATGTAGAGATTTCAAACCGTCCCACATATTGTTTAGAGGCCAGTGACCATATCTTGTTGAAAGTTCTCCAGCATTCCTTCAATTGGAATGATCCAGGGGGGAAAAAAAAAGCAGTCTAGCAATCAGATCGAGCCGCGAGATAGGTAAGGTACTGTCGTGCGATGTCTCTGGACGCGTAGGCAAAGCGTATGCGTACGTACATGTATATAATACCCATAGACGACCCACTTGAGAAATATCATCGACGAATTAGGCGGTTTAAAGCGTATCTATCTATACGAGTCTGTTCAAGTACATGCACTTGGCTTCCTGTACGTTATATGCGATCGCGACACAACGTGATATGTAAGGGTTTCGTCCTGGGTTTCCACATCACTTGTCTATTGCATACCAAGGAAAATGATATATCATATGCCAACTTCTGACACAAATTATTACATTCCTCCTCTAAAATTAGTTGACCATTTGTTCATAAGAGTCTCTAGACTATCTCTTCTAAACATTTCCTCACGGCTTGATCATTAGATCATCTCAATCTCTAAAATTGGTTAGCATTTTCTAAATGTGGTCCATACCGCCACATCATCAAATCTTGCAATTCTCAACATAGCAATTTCTACACATCAGCATCCCTAAAATATGTTAGCAATTGCCAAAGTGGGTCCCATTTACTATTTCAAATCTACACCAACACTTATCAATTGAAAAGTTAATAAGCAAGAAAATAGAAAGAACAAAAAAACAATTATATGTGTGACATTGCTAGAAGAATTACTAATTTAGCAATCTTGCTAGTTTAGAAAGAACTCTTTCATCCCTGGCCATTGCTACATTTTTGCCACCTAAGCTCCACCTCACCTTTAGCAATTGCATAAAGTTGGGGATGAAGATGGTCTTAGAGTGCCCTCCTCGACATTAATGTCAATTATTTTCATAATTAAATGTGACATCATTTTCAAATTAACGCCTATAAGTACCAATCGAATCACTCTCTATTGTACAACCGGGGGTTACAATTACTAGTAGACGAAACCTATAAGCATAATTCATATTACAAATTTACTATTCAAATTTTGCTCCCAAATGCAATCATGCATGCATTTGACCGGTTAGGTTACATAGCACATGACATAGGTTTTTTCTTTTCATCATGTCACTAATAACGAATAACGATCGAGAATGATAGTGGTCTTTTTTTTTTTTTTCTAATACCGACAGTCAAGGATAATATACAGTCTTAGTAGATATAACAGCGCTGTTTAGGATATGTTTAGGTATGTGATTGACTGCATGTCATCAACAACAACAACAAACAAGACCACACCAACTTCATTTTGTCTTCAACTGTACAATCCCATTTTGGATCTCAATATTCTCGATAAGATTCATGCAATTAGACACTAATCATCCAACGTGGGATTTCGACATTTGCACGTATTGATACAGTTAATTCCTAGCAATCATGCTGTTTAGGACAAATCAGAAATCACCAAAATTGGGGCAGTTGTGAATTTTTTTGTACTTAGTGTTAGTGGGGAAAGGGAAATATGATCATCAAACATTCTCTCAAGTCGCATTCTCTTAATGATGGAATTAGTATAATTGATTATGGCTAATTAAGTTCATTATAAGATTGGTGGAGGGTGTTCATGGGAGTGCTTGTCCTGCAGTAGCTATATTGTGAATAGAAGAGAACAAAAGAAGAAAAAGGAACAGCTATGTGACTTAACAAAGGGCAATCAATCAAGGGATGGTACATATATGGTAGCTAGGGTACCCTTTTACAAGGACCCGTGCATGAATCCCTGGCCTAGTAATGCAACTTTTCAAAATGGCAAATTTTTTTATATAAAATTTTATGTTGTTGGGTCTTATTAGTTCAATCGTATTATTGGAATGTATAGTGGTTTTTGACAGAATATTAGCGTGTTTGATTAAGAAGTCTCATTTCTGATTCGATGTTTTCTCAATTCTCATTGAATTTTTTTTATTGTTAGTGGATTTTCAAGTCTCGGTTGATTTTGAATGAAAGATATATATAGAAAAAGAGTCTCGTCTTTGAGTTTCAAAAACTCTCGATATTAACTATTGATTTATTCACAAAACATGAAAAATCTGTATAAATTTCAAGCACATAACTTAGCTTTTGTTTAAAGAAGCGTTTAACAAAATTATATAAGAACGTTGGAGGCAATCATGATATTATTAACTACTCAACACATAATATTAGGTTACCTACTAAAATAAGTTGTATGATTCTACTTGAAAAATGATCTTTACCACATATTTTGTCAACTTATGTTAAGGGTGAATGACATCCATAGCCCCGCGCTACTATTTACTGTGATTTTTAGAAATATACTATGTTGGATTTTCTGTTTCTTTTATTTATTTATTTATTACTGCGAGTTCAAAGCCATCATATATGGCAAAGCTTGTATGAACATCTGACAAGTACGTGATAGAGATTTAGACGTACATAATATTCATCAACGACCACAACGAATAACACAGAGCAACAACTACCAAAAATCAAACTTATCAACGACCTCTTGATTCAAATATGTGTATTTACAAACTTCATTCTGTCTCTATTTAATTTCCATGTCCATCCTTTAAAAAACGGCAAAATACAGTTGTATATCCACAATTATTAGGTTTGTGACAAATATATCCATAACTATCAAAATACACGAAATATCCAAAAATCAGAAGGTTGTGTGACAAATCTATCCACTTACGTCTGAAACTATAACGGCGTGTCAGACGGCGTTAAATTGACTAACGGAATGTTGAATCGATGCCAGCTCACCTGCCACATAAGCCAAAAAGCAACCAAACTTTACACGTAGATGCCAAATAGGCTAGTTGAATAAAGGCAAAATACACCTGTATATCCACAACTATTAGGTTTGTGACAAATATATCCATCAATATAAGGTTTGTGACAAATATATCCACAACTATCGAAATACACGAAATATCCATTTCCGTCCACTCCGTTAACTGCGTCAGTTAACTTGATGACTGGACAAACGGTGGATGCTTAGTTGACGTGTTTCTGACCCCACTGAATGACGTGGATTAAAGAGAAAAAATTAAAAACCCTAAAACCACAGACAGTGAGACTAAAAATCCAACCTAGAAACACGCCCGATAACCACTGATCCTCCTCCGATCGACGCCTCCACCCCCAAATAACCCTATCCCAAGCCCAGATTTTGATTCCAACCACAATCCCCAACCATTGCCTCCCTTTTACTCCGACGGCTTCCATGCAGTCGGTGCCATGGTGATACCAAGTTTGAATCTAACCAAATCGCCAACAGAGAAGACTACAGCATCGAGGTCTAACAGATAACGGTGTAAAGTTTGGTTGCTTTTGGCTTATGGCAGGTGAGATGATATCGATTCAGCATTTCGTTAGTCTATTTAACGCCGTCTGACATGCCGTTATAGTTTCAGACGAAAGTGGATAGATTTGTTACACAACCTTCCGATTTTTGGATATTTCGTGTATTTCGATAGTTGTGGATATATTTGTCATAAACCTGATAGTTGTGGATATACAACTGTATTTTGCCTAATTTTTTTCCCCCTCTTTTAATCCACGTCATTTAGTGGGGTCAGAAGCACACCAACTAAGAATCCACCGTTTGTCCAGTCATCAAGTTAACTGACGGAGTTAACGGAGTGGATGGAAATGGATATTTCGTGTATTTCGATAGTTATGGATATATTTGTCACAAACCTGATAGTTGTGGATATACAACTGTATTTTGCCAAAAACAAACCAAAATTCTTAGGAATAAGATGAATCTACACTTAAAAAGTATGCCATGTGTACAACATACGTTACTTATAACTTGAATCTCTTACCCTCCAGACATGACATGCATGTAACCAACCAAATTTCTAGCCTGGTCGATGATACCCACGTGTAGTTGTGTACTATTGAGCGTTCAATATTGCTTTCAGTATACTCTCATGTTCAGGGCAGAGCATCTGGCTAAAATATGTTCCTTCAATCCATTTGTTTGGTGTCATTTCTTGATCGATCATAATTACGCTCAGCTTCGCTTGTTGGTTCTTATTAGAAATCGAGATTCTAGCTTAGTGACGAAGTTAGGACTTAGAGTGAGGAGAAGTTGAAATTGATAATCTGTAAGACTGTAACAACTTCATACGATTGAGCCAAATATGTTGGAGGAAATGCGTCGAGGCACAGCAGTTGACTGGACATCTAGGGGTAAAGCACTGTTTCAGTGCGAGCTGCGAGAGCGATACCAAATCGAGGCAAACTCTGGATACTAGTTATGACCTCAAAATAACAGGGAGAACTACTAATTAACCCCAATCCTATTATGTTCTAATGTCTTCTAAAGATATGAATATACATATTATAATCAATGAGCTAGTGACGAAGTTAGAATTTTGAGTGAGGAGAGGTTGAAGATAATAAACGATAACTATTTTCTAAATCTTAGAGAAGGTTGGGCTAATATCCCACATTCCGAACACTTTTAGCGTTTTTCTTAAGATATAAATACACATACTATAATCTTGGATCAAAAAGTGAGGGGGTGGGGTAGCCCCTCCAGCACTACACGTAGCTCCACCACTAATTATAACACAAAAAAAAAGTTGTAACCCTGAGAAATTTTCACACTCTGTTGTGTTATTACAAAAAATAGGCACAAACACCACTACCTTATAACATTAACACAATAAAGGAGTACTTACCCCCGTAACGTCATACATTATTCAATAACGAACATCAGAATCCGTCCGAACAACACAATACATCCCAAACGCGGGACGGACAAACTCCTATGAAACAAACTGTCTGCCCGAAAAATTGTCCTCCCTGTACACGCGAAAGAGTTGAACTAACCAGCCACTTTGATACTATAGTTTTCCACATTAAGCTTTGAGAAAATGATTCACTTTTTCATCATTTCGCAATTCAAACACCCGACCCCATGAATTGAACTCCAGAAACCAAAAATACGTACGAGACATTATTATCTTATTGTAGGGTATCCCTTCATTTTCCCGCTTCATATTCAAGACGCTCTTTAGGCCCGCCGGACCCCTCCTCCTCCCCAAAAGCTCCCTTGAATGAGAGCTTCTGCTGAATTCACCAACCGGGCCAGGACAGGTCAAGGATTCTTCTTTCCCCTCCTTTTTTTTTTCTCCAACTAATTGGTTCTCTTTTCTTTTTGTTTCTTACCAAAACTTAAAAGATTTTCTTTCTTTCTCTGAATATTATTTATAAAAAAAAATTAATTATCCATATATGTGACACAAGTTTTAGACAGCAGCAGATGGTAGAGTGCAGGGTAGTCGTTGCCCGTTGGTATTCAACAGGCAGAGCTTTTCCATTTCTATCTTGTCGAGTTGCTGCAGGTGATGGTATCTCTTTGGAGGTTCAGTTTCCAACTCTATAAGGTGTTTTTGTTAAATGAGGCTCCTTTTTTTCGAGATTGTCAGTTATAGGTCGGAATTAGAGTTTAGTGCGAATCCTAAGACAGAGGTTGGGTTGCCCCATGAAGATTGACCTTTCTTTATCTTGTCTACCGTTGTGTTCATTTGATTTTTGTATCTTGATTTAGGCCCTAATTAGGGGGCCTTTGTAAAGTGCATTTAGTTGAGGGTAGGATTACAAACACATAGAGGTTAAAAAAATAAGCCCTACATTTTGCTCCAATGCACAACCCTAAACTAAAAAGAAACCCTATAGGCGAAATCCATAGGAAAGTTATAACCGAAATTCTCATACCTCTCTCTAAATTTAGCGAAATTCTAAGAATGACGGGCACAATCTTAACTAATTAACATGTAGAGTCTAGTAGGTTTGTGACGAGAAAATGAGATGAAATGGAGTGATACATCAAGTAGGCAGCTAGGTTAACCTCGAGAGGTTTCCATCGAAAGTAAGGATGGTAAAAACTATATCGGAGGATGCACCGGCGGCATGGTACTTTGTGCTGATAGATACCGTGGTTTAATCATAGTTCAACAGTTTCATATCGCTAAAAAAAATTCACCATTTAATTTAGAATCCGATAAGAAGTGTTTCTGACAGGACCGTCAATATATACAATACGATTTCACAAACACTTCAAGCATATCTTGAGAAGCAGCCAGCGTAGGTATTTTGGTATTGGAATTGGCTAATTATTATTGTGTACTCTGCATAATAATGGATAGCAGCTGTTGGAGAGTGCAAACGTGGTGTGTTATTGAAGTGTTGTGGGTATGGTAGACAAGTTTGCATCCAACACATGTGTATTGCTCCGACCTATATATTACAGATGCATTCTGGAGTACTACTGCATGGGCCATGCAGATTGGTTGTTGTCTACTAATTAAGCATATATAAGCAATCATTTGGACACAGTAAAAAAGATAGATTAGGTCCCTTGATGATCATTTACCTGCCTCTTTCAAAAGTAATTAAGAGGATGGTCCTAATTAGGTTAATAATTATGTTGCTTTGGTCCAAACTCTGCAGCCTGCCCTTGTCAATTTGAGTTAAAGGGTGCATAATTATAAGTGATGGAAACTCTGCGGGGCGGGTACTTTAATATTTATATCCTCACGCATCAAATGTTGGTCAGGTAGGATAATATTTGTGTGGATACAAGTCAAGACATGTCGATTCATTCTTATATATTATGTAAAGAAAACATGCAATTTTTTTAATGGGAAGCGAGACAAAGGACGATGCGGGTAGTCCACCCATGTCATGTGCATTCATGCTACCACGAATCGGTGTATTACTCGCCCCAGCAAGAATCAGATCGAATATAGCCGACGAGAAGGATTCAAATCACCATCAATATGCCTATACATATTCTCAATTTTTCATTATCTTTGATTTTGATACCGGACGTTAATCTCACGGCGGATACAGAGAAAATCTATTAACCAAACAAAAAGCTTGTATTGTTGATTCAAAAGAAGTTAATTCAACTAAAACAATAAAGTTCCTACGAGTTATAACTCGTAGTTCGACATAAATTACGTATTTAGTTTTGACGAATCTTGTAATTACGACATAACGAGCCGACCAACAACGATTTTCAACTCAAAATCTTTTTCACAATAACAATTCGAGACGATTTCAAACACTATATTTATCGACACCAGTATTATTATTACGATCCGACCATCAATGCCGCACAGAACAAGTCGACTTAAAAGTTAAAACGTAGAAGATATACGAATACATCGTTTCTACAATCTCCGGTGGCCTATTCCATTTGTAATTTGTTCTTTTTTAAGTTGCTAACTGGCCGATACTCGATCTGATGGGAACCCCTTTTTCTTTTCTCTGCGGGGCACGTTGCGAGAATGGAAAGGGCAGAGGAGGAAGAAGAAAAGAACATTCTCAAGCGGCCTACTGAGTTGTACATTGGAGAGAAAGAAAAAAGAAAAGAAAAATCCCGACGATTCATCCACGGATCCGATTCCAGAATAAGTGCTCCCGCGTGTTTAACTTATTACCATTTTCCTTTTCCCCTAGTGTAACTCTATAAAATTTAATTTTATATGTTGGTCGTTAAAAAAAATTATATTTTCACACGATTCTTACAATTAATCCGGTAATTTATGCACCAAAAAAAAAATTAATTCGGTAATTTGCTTATATAACAAGTCATACCCTCTTCGTTCATCAATCTTACTAATTTTATCTACTAATGAATCAATTTTTAATGTTATTTCATAAACCAACTTAACATGTTAATCGCTTGCTACTTCGTATTCCATAGAAAAGTAATAGGAATTGAGTTTATAGAGAGGTTTAATTTATGGGGTTCATTATTTTTTGGTATTATTTCATCATTCAATTATCGGTCTCTATTTTTCTCACTAAGAATTATTTTTCAAGACAAGCATTAATTTGATTTAAAAAACATATTGCATTTCTAGGGGGTATGAATTTAGTACCAAATGCATGAGTTGCAATGAAATTTCGTTTACATTTCTTACACTAGGTTTGGCAACAAGAGGGTGCAAGTTGAGGGGTAAATTGCTGGGGGTGCAACTTTGTGGGGGTGTAAGTGGAGGAGTAAATTGTTGTTGGGATGAAAAAGTAGGGGGTGCAAATAGAGTGAAAAGTAAGTAATTATATTATTATAAAATAGATTTATCAAATTTATAAAATATTATCAGAAAATAATAAAATTAAAAATCAATATATCATAATAATAATAATTATATTCTAATAAAATAATTATTTTATAATAATGCTCAAATAATAATTAATTATAACAACAATAATAATCATTGGTCGAGCAACCTCGAAACTCGAAACCCAACTTGTAACTAGTCCTCCTAAGGGGGTTTTCGTGCCTATATTTAAATTGAATATGGTCAAACTTAGTCAAACACGTTCGAATCTGTAAGTTTTGACCTATTTAGTTAAGTAAATTGAGTCAACTAAACCGCTCCTCTATCTTTTTCACAAACGCTTCTTATCTCTAATTTTCAATGTAAATTTGAGTCAACCAAGAGATATTGATTTGACTAGACGAACATTGACAAACTTGCTCTCGAAGTCAAACGGTCAAACCCAAACAACGTCTACATTAGTGATAACTATAACAAAAAAATTAATAATATTAATTATTAGATAATTATAATATAATTAAAAAAAACTCATAATTTCCCCCTCCCCCTTCCTTCCTTCCTTCCTTCCCTTGCACCCCAATTCAGGGGGTAAGCTGAAATAGTAATTCTGCACCCCCTACTGTTACAAATTATCCAAACGGATGCAAATGTCTTGGAAATTGTATTTACCCCTCCCATTTGCACTCTCCTCCCATTTGCACCTCTTCCCAAACATAATGTTAAGGAATTGCATGCATCTAAACGAACGGTAAGGTAAGTAAAGATACTTGGAGGAAAGTAATTGAGAAACATAACCTTTCTAGGTCATATTGCTACCCTGATACGATATCAAAACAAATAAACGAGATGTAAGAAGAATAGAAACCGAAATATTCACCGCAAATTTATCAAAATTTGAACACTCGAATCATTAAATAAAGTATACTATTTACCACCAATCTCAAGTTAATTACTAGTATAACAAGCACATCGCCAAGCCAACCATGTCATTCTTTCTTGATCTCTATCAATTTTTCCCCCAATTAGCAAAATATTATTATTTATAGTGAACCTGTCTATTAGCAAAAATATTAGGGGGGAAAAAGAGGTGGGATGGGGGAGACATTAGGACATGCACGTTGTTCGTGGTTGCACTTGCTTGCCAACATTGATTACCGTCTCACGTGTACGCCACGTCATTCCTTCTCGTCTTTTCATCACACTCTCATCACCTCACCACCACCACTACCGACTCTTCTTCTTCCTTCTTCCTCTGACTCCCCCCACGACGCCATTCCCCCCATATTTCCCCATTCCCCATTTGCCATTGCCAATGCCATTACTAAATTTTGTTGGTTTCTGAGGCCCATTGCACACAACATCACTGAATTTATGGGTCATCACTATACTAGTCATTGATCTATATGAATAAACTTGGGGTTTCAATTGTGAAGTAGATCGAAGAAGTCGATAACTAACGCAACCTGTCATTTCGTTCGTTCTCGTGTTCTGATGAGTGTTTGCATGTATTTAGTGTTTTAGAATGGTTCGATTTGATCGATAACTATGAGTTGTTTTTTTTATATCTTGATATGGTTTGATCCAGATCGGTATTTTTATCGAACTAGAACGTGGGCCCACACTGCTTCCCGGTCCATGTTAGCAACACACTCAGCCGCTCTCTCCACCCCCCCAACGAGACCCATCACCCAAGTCTCGGACTATTATTTTTCCAAATAATGTCACCTCCTTCCTCCATAAAGCACACTCCACCGGAGAGCAGAGAAGATTACGTCTCCATCTGACATTGTGTTAACGATTTATGGACGTTATGGTGGAATTTTGGGTTGCTCTGACTTTGTGTCTTTGCTTAGATTTATAGTATCAGTCAGGTATGCTAGACATTAGGTAAGTGAAAAGTATATATTTTCCAATGATTTATTAGAATTTTGGTTTATTGGACCAATCACTCTATTCATGTTTACTAGATCTAGCCTGCCTAGTTTGAACCGTATTGAGCCATACTGTAAAGAAGTCATTTGGATCGTACTGAACCGTATAGTCTTTGGTTTGATTCCCAATATGTAATTCAGCCCCTTGATGTATCATGTAAACTGAGTATATAGAGCAGTCTCGATCAGATCACCACCATTTCTCAATTCTAACATGCAACATATGGATCCGTCAATTAGCTACTTAGATGAGGGAAAAAAGTGATTATATTTATAGTGATTTTGGATAAGGTAGATTTGACATATAGATTTAGCTTGGATTTTTTTTAAAGTTAGAATTAAGACCTATGTAATTTTTTTAATTACCAATTTTAATCAGTTAACACGCCAATTTTAATAGTACGCACGAGAATGAAGGCAAATAGAACAAATACATCGTTGATTTTACAAGTTTCCATGACAAACTCGCTACGAGCAGAATTTGCGTGGCTGATTTGCTAGGGTCCCCCAAAGTTTAGTGACCATTTCCAAAATTGAACCAATTGTTTTCTTCTCTTCTTCGGCTTCTTCCTCTGTTTTCCTCTCCTTTTCTTCCTTCCCCTGCCTTATTTACACACCTCTGAATCAAAGCCAGGCCTATCTTTTTCTCTTTCATTATCTCTGCTACATTTCCGTAATCGTGACAGTTGCCAAACGCTTTCCTTTTCTCCTCTTCCCCCCATCTCATTCTCTTTTTAGACTGAGACCCCTGAATCTCTTTGATTGTGTCACTTACTGCTACACCCTCCTTTTCCTTTTCTTCCATTCTTCCGCGAGGAATTCTAGGCAGCAAGTTTGGATTTGCCCAAAAGAGCAAAAAAAGTAAAGAGAGAGGTTCGATTGCAGCTATAAGAAGCCATTGATGATGGTCCTCCCCTTCCCCCCTGTTTTCTTTCAACTTTTGAACCGATCTTAGACTCCCTTTAGAAAGATAAAGAATCTCCCGTTTTTTTCCCCTCACTCTTTGAATTCCTCTGGGGCCACCACCACCATACCACCACTGCTCTTCTACTCAGATCCCTCCACTCTGTTTTCCCCCTCTGTTCTGGAAGGAGAAAAAGAGAAAACTTATTCCTCGTCCTCTGGAAAACTCTGCAACTCCTGCAGAGAATAATAATATATATCCTACATTCTTCTTCCTGCTGAATCTTCAGATTCAGGGTTTTTTGTTTAGGTTCTGATTATTTTGGGTTTTAGAAAAACAACGGTGCTTTGTTGTTGTTTTTTGCCCTATGTAGTGTGGTTTAGTGTTTTTATGGAGGAGAGCAAGATCAGGAAAAGAGGGAACTCGTCTTCTCCGTCGTCGTCGTTAGTCCATAGATACAGATTCAAGCGAGCTATTCTGGTTGGGAAACGAGTTGGGTCTTCTTCCACCCCTGTCCCCAGTTGGATGATGGCAGCGGCAGCCAAATCCCCAAACTCAGCAATGGCGGCGCCGGAATCGGCAAACTTCCCGCCGCAGAGTGGCGGAAGAGAAGCTTCGGTTTCCGCCAGGAGACTGGCGGCAAGTCTTTGGGAGATCAATAAGGTGCATTCTCCCGCTGAGGCTCTGGAGGATTCTGATACCGTGCTGGATCAGAAAGAGCTTAGAAGAAACAGAGACAGAGAAAAGAATTCTGAGCTGCCTCGCTCCTCAGATCCAGCATCTTACGGTGCTTCCTTCCCTGAGGTAAAAATAAAAAAATGAAATTGGATCTCACCCAGAAGAACCTATGTCAATGGCGTTCTTGGGTCACAAGAATTTCCCCCCATTTTTATGTTTAAGCTGCTTATGTGTTCCTCACATTGATTTACAGACTATGGAGCGAAGGAGAAATGGTCACCGGAGAAAAACTTCATCAGTGGTCACTACAAAGAAGAAGCTTCTGCTCACAGATTACAGCCATGGAGAGTTCGATTCCACGAACAATGCCAATTTAATGGAGGTAAAAAGGGATTCCTTTCTGCAATTATTTCCTTCCTCTGGTTGTCGCTTTCCTTATAATGTCCCCTGTTTCCAAAATACACTGCAAAGATTACGACAGAAACAGAAGAAAAGAAAGAAAGAAAAAAATCCTAACAAAAACCCCTGTTTCCAGAACACAGAGCAAAGTACATTTCTTCCCTAGATTCCTAACAGAGGAAAGTTCAAATCTTTATGCAGGGGAAGGCTCAAATGGAATGCGTAATCGGGATCAAAACGCGGCTGAAGGACGTAAGCAAAGGCCTTCTTACATCCAAGGAGCTTCTGAAAGTAATGAACCGTCTATGGGGTCTCGACGAACAGAATTCTCCAGGAATATCACTCGTCTCTGCCTTAAGAGCCGAGCTCGACAGAGCGAGGAACCAGGTCAATCATTTGATCAAAGACCAGAAGTCAAGCCGCCACGAGATCATCCACCTCATCAACCGATTTGAGGAAGAGAAAGCAAGCTGGAGGAGCAAAGAACGAAGGAAGATCCACGACGCCTTATCACGCATTGCTGAAGAGCTCGAGGTAGAGAGGAAGCTGAGGAAGCAGAGCGAGAGACTTAACAAGAAGCTTGGGTGTGAGCTGGCGGAGACTAAAGAAGCTTTGGCCAAGGCGTTGAAGGAGCTCGAGAGCGAGAAGAGGGCGAAGGAGATAATGGAGCAGGTTTGCGACGAGCTGGCATCAGGAATTGGGGACGATCGAGCTATGGCGGAGGAAGTGAAGAGGCAGAGGGAGGAGGTGGAGAAAGAGAGGGAGATGCTTTTGTTGGCAGATGTTCTAAGAGAGGAGAGAGTTCAGATGAAGCTCTCGGAGGCCAAGTGTTACTTCGAGGAGAAGAATGCGGCTGTGGAGAGGCTGAAGTGCGAGCTCGAGTCACGTTTGAGGGAGAACATGGAAAGGAAGGAAGAAGATGTAGACGGAAATGGGGATGGTGATGATGATTGTTTTAGTCCCAAGTACGAGAAGATCAAGGAGCTGGAAGCTTACTTGAAGGAGATCGAGTTTGGGGGGTTGCAGAAGGGTGAAGGGAATGTGGGAGGAGTTGTTGTTGTTGATGATGATGATGGAGATGATTCGGGTGGAGAGAGTGAATCGCTGCAATCGATCGAATTGAACATGGATCATAACAGCAAGGGTTATAAGTGGAACTTTGAAGGGATTACTTTAGAAAATGCGAAGAGGATTTCGGTGGACAAAGATATGAAGGGGATTGAATGGGGAAGCATTTCCTTGTACAAGAAGGATTCTGACAATGTCAATGGTTTAAAGTTGGATTCTGATGCTATAAACCTTGAGATTCGACAGATTTTGGACAAGGAAAGGCGACGATCAAATGAACTCGGTCTGGATTCACAAGAGCAAGGTGGTGAAGATGAAGTGAAGATACTCAAGTCTGCCAAGAGTCTTAGGGACTTCTTGCTATCAAATTCCAGGAGAGAGTCGTCTGCAGCAGAAACGTTACCTCTGCAAGAGCTCAACAACGGTGTTTCTGAGAAACCAGCAGCTCAGCATGTTGATGCCTTGATGAAGAACAGAGCTGGTGCTGGAACAAGAGGCGAAAGGCGGCTTTCTACGAGCTCGAAACAGTAATCCATCATTATGTAAATACGAATCATTATACAAGCTGTCAAGGAAACAGAGAGATATCAGTTATTATCAAACCGTTACTGCAGTTTTGCTCTGTGTTAGTTCCAACTTTCATCATTTACAAGAAAGAAAATATCATTCTGTTGCTTCCCTCACAAGTTATCAGCTGATCACCATAGAAAACAGATGGTGAGTGAGCAGAAAGAAATGAATACTCAATTACTTTCACTTCCAGTAGTGAAAATATCCTTTTGGCATCTGCAAATTCTGAAACATGAATCTGTCCCAAGATGAATATGACCCAGTTGGGGCAGTTGCAGACAAATTGAAGATATTTATATTATATGCAAGTGGGTGGTGCATTATGCAAACTTGGGTCCAATAATGGGGTACTGTCAGTTCAATTTGCCAGGTCAATATGCCAAGAAGGAAAACCAGCCAACCAACCAGCCAGCCTAATCTCTTTGATTGAATGAATGAAGCAGAGATGATAATGTTGCAGATGAGGTAGGCCAAGTTTGAATACCAGGCAGGAACCTTGGAGATGATAATGCACATATACATAAGCCTCCAAGAACAAGTTTGGTGGATTTCTGTCTCATCATTGTTTCAGACTGTTTTCTGCCTTTTAACCCTTGTGTCAATTCTGAATAGTGAAAAGTGGATCCATAGTGAATGGTGACCAAAGTGGACTTACTCCTCCCAGTAGTACCTATTGCAAACTGGAATTACAAGTTCTCACTGCACGAACAGATAACGTTTTGTTCCCCTTCCGCACGTTTATATCCGTTTGATCACTTCAATGGTAATTTTGTAAATCACCCCACATGTGTCGATTCTACAGCGGTAAACGTCGGATTAGAAGGGTATCAGCCCATGATGGTTACCGAATTGAGATAATCGTTCTTTATCTGGTTTGTCACAAGAATTGATCTGATACAAAAAGACAATGGCTATGGCAGGAATTCTCAAGTGCTTTTTTTCTGGTTCAAGTTCAATGTGCCTAACCCTGGAAGGCACACAACACTCGGTCCTTAGTAACATTGTACAGAGTTATAAATGGTCTACCTCAGGAAAGAGTCCTCCAGGAAACTCTGCAGCTCTTGTCTTTCAGAACCTTCTGCTATTGGCATGTTGGATTCTGCAGTAGTTGAGGACATGAAGGTAACTGGGTTCAGAGGGTGGTCCTTAAGCAATCCAATTGAAAACATCAAATTGTGAATACACGCAAGATATGAATGATTCTCGATCAAATGACTAAGGAAGCTTTAGCACATTTCATTGCTCCTGACATTACTGATGAAATCTATAAATCGCAGACAAGCAAAGCAGCGGACTTGAAGCATCTTGAACAGTTTAACTGTCATCCACAGTGAATCAACAAGAAAAGTTTCTCACGACAGATCGATGGTACAACATGAAGCTAATATACAAACAAGGACCCTTATTTTCATCATACATCAGCCACTAACGTGAGATGGCTTGGCTTACTCCCATCCAATTAAACAGCTCAAACGGCTGATGGCCTGAAAACAGACTTTTACTTCTTCTGAGAGCTTTCGGTTTTTGCAGCAGCTGATGATGCAGTGTATGTAACTGCAGTCGTTGGATGGTCTCTAACAGTCAAGCTCAAAACTTCAGGCCTAGCGTAATGCCCCACCACGTCGAAGTCAAACTTTGCTCTTGCAATTTCTCCAAGGTCTGGTCAATCAAGAACATATTAGTTAACTGAAGCATGAAAGCAGGAGGGCAGCAATGGGTAACAATATGAGCTGAAAGATGAACACCGAGATAGAGATACCTAAATCAGCAGATATCAGTGCCTCTCCTTCGTAATTAGGTCCAGCTAAAACCGTCCCCATTGGAGATATAATGAGACTGCCTCCAGCACACACAACAGAATCTGGGTCGAGCTCTTCCTCTGTCCCTGCAAACACATACTCAGGGGCGGGAGGGTAATCTTTGCGACGACAGAATTGGTCTGCGGACAGCACAAAACATCCACCCTCGAGAGCAATGTGAGTCATTGATGCTGGCCAAGTTGGCCTCGAATCAGCTGTAGGTGCACAGTAGATTTCAATACCTGCAACAAATGGTTAAGAAATATCAAGTTCACCAATTACACAGAAAATGTTGCAAAGGCTGTTTCTTCAAGTAAAAAAAAGAAAGAAGCTTTCACCTTTCCCATACATGGCAGTCCTTAGGAGGGGCATTCGGTTCTCCCAGCAGATGGCAGCACCTATTTTCCCCACAGGAGTGTCGAAAACAGGAATGGTCGATCCATCTCCAAACCCCCAGACGATTCTTTCAACTGACGTAGGCATCATCTTCCTGTGCTTCCCTAAGTAATGACCTTGAGCATCGAAGAACAGAACCGAGCAGTAGAGTGTGTATCCATCCCTCTCTATCACTCCCATCACCAATAACACCTTGTACTTCCCAGCCATGGCAGCCAAACGATCCACTTCCGGACCTGAATCAACACCACAGAATCAACACCAATATTAACTCAGCTAACAGATTGAATGAAATTGCCTCGTCCATCACCATCCCTCATCCACTCACCAGGTACATCAATGGCTGCAGCATGATACTTGCGGAACTCTTCCCTTCCCTTTGGGGTTCGGTTCCCGATGGCAGCTCCGAAATTCGAACCCCTAGGGTAGCCTCCGATGAAAGCTTCAGGAAACACAACTAGCTGAGCACCATACCCAGCTGCTTCAGCTAGCAGTCTTTCAGCCTTATCTAACATGGAAAATCCAGGATATGCCAAACAACCCATCAATCATAATCATCAATCTACTTCAACCAAATTAAGCTGAGTGAGGCAAGCAAGAAAACCCAAGTTCGGCGAGCAAATCCATTCTCAGCTCCTCACCCCCCAAATCTTTTGACCCAATCGAGAGGAAGCAAAGAGAGAGCTTACCAAGAGTGGCGGGAGTGTCGTAGAAGACGGTGGAAGCCTGTACAACGGTGGCTCTGACGACGGGAGCAGAGGAATCGGCACCCATGTCGACTTCAGCAATGATAGGGCCGTCGGAGGAGGGAGCTGTCGCTACGAGGGACATGGCGGGATTGGTGGTGGTAGTGGGAGAGCAGAGTGTGATGGAAATTTCGTCGTTTGGACTCTTTTGTTGCTGGCTTTGTTAGGTGGGGGAATAGGTTGCAAAAAGGTCACGTTTTTTTTTTTTTTTTGTAACTTAAAAGAGAAATACAAAATCGATAAAAGGGGGAAAACGCATTAACCCCTTCTGGCTCCGGTAAGTTGAATTTCAAATCGATCCGCACCTCTGTTCGCCGGCCAGCAGAAGATCACCAACTCCGATTCCGGGCGGCAAGGCATTCATCGAACTCAGTCGTTACGAACATTGGCAAGCCTCCCGTCTTCTTATAGCTACATCCATCTCTCGTCCGCTGATCGCCTTAATCGGGCGACTGTTGATTGAGATCTCGGATAAGAAAGAAGCAAATAAATTGAACGACGTGATTTCCATGGGCGATTCCCCGGGTTCCGAGTCGAAGACCGGCGTCGACGCGGCTAGAATGGGGGAAGTTAAGGCGTGGCTCGCATCTCAATTCGAGGCGATCGGGAAAGAAGTTCCCGATTTCGAGTACACGCCTCGCACCATCGCTCATTTCCACGATTTGGCTACCGTCTCTCAGGCCAAGACCAAGGCGGCGAACATCGTCGCCGCTGATTTCCGCCAGAAAGCCGCCGAGTACCGTGCTCAAGGTAATTATTAGGGTTCCTCCATTTTGCCTCTTTAGTTTTGACACTCGTCGAACATTGTTTGATTCGGTGGGAATTTGATTGCTTTAGCTGCTAGGGTTAGAGAGATATTGGAGCATGTGGGACTAGCACAAGAGAGTTTGCCTTCCAATGTGGTGGGTTCGGCTCAAGTTCTGGCAAATGTGGCTAACTTGTTGAACATAAGAGACACTGAACTAAGCAGGTAGGGTTCTAGTACTAGTTCAATGGGGGATTACTTTCAGGTTCTCTTGGCGGATATGAAGTTGAAACGTGAGAAATGTCTGCAGTTTTCTAGTAGCAGCTGCTGACATTTCCTTGAGGAAGACCGGTGTAGAGGAAAAGAGGGCTAAAGTAAGGAATGACTCCAAAGTTCTGCTGGAGTATACGCGAAAGGCAATTTCAAGGCTTACCTATTTAAAAAGGTATGACTTGTAGTTCAATTTCAAATCGTTCCGATAGTGTTTGCTACTTCAGAGCTCTAGTTTTTGGATTGATTCTTTTGCTGTTGTTCATTTGGTGTTTTTGGTAGAACCCTTGCACAGCTTGAGGATGACATTGCCCCTTGTGAGGCTCAGATGGATAATTGGAAGACCAATTTGGCAGTAATGGCATCGAAAGAGCGACAGTATTTTCAACAACATTCCAATTACAAGGTAACTATACTGTTAAGTTCATAGTTAGAATCTCACTACAGTAGCTTGTTTAGGCATGCATTACTCGAAACATAAAGGTGACTTTTGTGCCAATCTGGAATAGGACAGCGACTTGTATCTCCTGTTCCTCATCTCCCAGATATTACTTCCATTTGCAGCTGTTGTGGTAATAATGCAGGGACCAAGTTGAAAGTCAGTTTTACCTTCTTTTTTTTGCTGGATCGTGATTCACGCCTGTGTTAGTTGTCCCAATATTGATGTTAGGAAAACATCAAGAACTAGGCCTGCAAATTTTGAAGTAGACCTAAGCATTTCGTTTTCTTATCAATTATATATGGTGCTAAATACCTCCATGGCAACTAGTTAGCTAAGCTCTGTAATGGAACATAGTTCATGAAAGCAGCGTACACGTGTGGATGACAAGTATTGGAATCAGATCCATTTCCCATGACATAATTCTCCATGCTAAAACTAGAGTTCCTTACCATCCTACTGGTCTGGGACTCTTCTCTTTTAGAATAGTGTTTATACAATGACTGGATGTTAAGGAAGATCGTGGTATAGTGATTACATTTCTCATTGTTAAGGGGTCAGCGTGCGTTTGCTACTTCCTGAAATATTATTGATTGAATTGAAAAGATAGTTGTAGCCAACTCAGAGAGAACAGGAGAGAGGTGGCTTTTGGTTACTTAACCCCCAGGGACAAGAAGCACTTTGGATTGTAAAGATGACTCTCCCCATCTCCAGCTGCGGGATGATGTTTTAAGATTTGCCAAGATCCCTTGCCAAATTTGTTATGTTTCAAGTTTTGAAACCGGTTGGTTTTTGTAATCTTTATTCTCAGGTCTGTGGGGAAGATTCCTTGGGAAAGAGCATGATAGAGGAGTTTGGCTGTGTAGGAAGTGTCTTGTTGTTAAAATCTACACCAACAAATCCTTTTCTCTAGAAAATTGGTTGCGGTGGTTTAGAAAGTTTGTTCTGATGTTCACTGTGATGCAAGCCATGACATAATCTTTTATGCTTTGGTTGCTTTATCGCATTTTTTCTTCATAGTGAAGATGGGCTGCTTCATACTAGGAAACCATGACATAATATTTTCTGTTGCCTTAATTGGGTATCAATACGAGATTTCGATAGACGCGGTAGACGTTAATGGAGAGTCTTGTTTTTGTTTTACTGGCTGCCTGCTGGATGGTTTTACTTCTCTTACCGTTCTCGTCTTCTGGCAGGCGCTTCTCAACCGTGTAGGCTACACGCCGGAGATCAACCACCGGGTTCTGGTCGAGTTAGCCGAGCACAGAAAGGAGCTCGAAAAGGAGACCAAACCCATCTTGGATACATTGAGGAGTTACCAGGACTTGCCCGCGGTAAAAAAAAAAAAAAAAAAAAAAGAGAGAACCATTTGTTGCTCTGGTGACTGGTGTAACCAGAAGTAAAAGTCTTGATCGTCGTTATTGTTTGACAAAAATGCAGGACAAAGCACTGGCGGCACTGGCAATCGAGGAGAAGAAGCGACAGTACGCCGCAGGGGAGAAGTACCTCGGAGACTTGGTCCAGGCCCTCGCAATGCAACCGTGATCAAACAAACATTCACCATAACCACCGACCAGCTGGGTTTTGATTGGGCGCCACGTAAAGAAAAGCTTGTAGTTATTCGCAACTTGTAGTAAGCATTGAAGTTTGGGTTCTCAATACAGTGTGTGTGGTATTTTAAATTTGTGTAGTAGTGAAGAAAAACGGCGCTGCTGTGACGCCGCCGGCGAGAATTCAATTGGCGGTCGGTAAGATAGATCACATGGGTCCGTGTGGGCCGGGCCGGGCCGGGAAGTGAATTGAGGCCGAGGTGGAGTCCACGTGAAGTCGATGGACACGTGGAGGGAAGCTGCGGACGCCTGCTTACGTCATGTTATGTCAAAGAAGGAAGAGAGGGAACTGGGAAACAGTACAAATTCAGACCGCCATCCCGCTGCCCATTTTCCTTGCCTCTCTGTTTTCTTAACGCAAAAAAAAAAAAAAAAAAAAAAAAAAAAAAAAAAAAAAAAAAAAAAAAAAAAAAAAAAAAAAAAAAAAAAAAGAGTACAGAAGGAAAAAGCGGCTGGTTGGCTTTTTCCGGCGGGAAGAGCAACCCTGCATAAATATATCCTCAGTACACAAAAAACCATTTCTTCATACATTGTTTGCTTCCCTTGCTAGCCTTTCTCACGAATACAGAGCAAACCCTAAAAAACCACAAGAACGGAAGATAGTCGGAAGAGCGAAAACGAAACAGGGGGATCGAAAGAAAAGTTAGTAGCCATGGTGAGGAGTAACGACGGTGGGGTTTCGAGGGAGACGCAGATGTCGATCGAGGCGTCGTCGATGTTTCCCGGGTTCAAATTCTCGCCGACGGACGTGGAGCTGATATCCTACTACCTGAAGAAGAAGTTGGACGGCGACGAGAAGTGCGTCGAGGTGATTCCTCAGGTGGAGATCTGTAAACACGAGCCATGGGACTTGCCAGGTTCTTTCCTTCTCTTCCGACCTTCGCTTTTGTTCCATTTTGCCAACAACTCTTCCAGTTTGAGCTTGCTGATGCGTCGTCGTTACAGCTCTTCACAACTGAAAACTTCCATTGCTGAAATATACTAAATAACTTCGTTATTTACATCTGGAAATCGTTAATAATGATAACTATAATTAACTGGATTTTTTTTTAATATAACAGCTTACCGAAAATAGTAAGGGTAGAGATGATTGATTGTTTCTTGAAGTGCTCAAACATCAGCTGTATGTATAAGAATGCCCACCATTTTCTTTAATTGTTTTTGGTTATTCGATGAATTATCCATAAAATAAAATTTTTTGTTAATTTTAATTGATCTGGAAGAAAGAAGAAAAAATCCTCGCATAATTAATTAATTGTTTTTTTAAGTCAATTAGAAAGAAATTGGTTCAAATAGAATGGGAAGAAGAAAATGGATGTGCAGTCAAACACCCAACGGTTTGCCTCTACCTTTCTCCCTTGCTAATATGACACGTAGCCTTTTGGAATCGGTGTGGATGAATTGAAGCATGACACGTATTACTCTGACTACCACGTGGAGTGACTTCAGCACCTCCAGCTCTGCCACGCCACCCAAATAATTACCGTAGACTATAAGCTTTTTATTCATTTATTATTCATCATTTACGATTTTTTGGTTTGTGTTTCTTTTTGCCTGAACAGCGAAATCAATAGTCCAATCGGAGACGGAGTGGTTCTTCTTCTCGCCTCGAGGCCGGAAGTACCCCAACGGCTCCCAGAGCAAGAGGGCGACGCCGCTCGGCTACTGGAAGGCCACCGGCAAAGAGCGCAACGTCCGATCCGGCTCCGCCGTCATCGGCACCAAACGCACCCTCGTCTTCCACATCGGCCGCGCCCCCAAGGGCGAGCGCACCGAGTGGATCATGCACGAGTACGCCCTGTACGCCGGCGCCAATGTCAGTAAATTAATTAATTCCTCCTCTGTAAATTAGGTTTCGATTCGTGTCAATTTTTCGATTGATTTAGGGTTTTCGGGCGAAAAAATAAAATCCGCAGGACTCAATGGTCGCGTGCCGGCTGAGGAGGAACGTGGATTTCCGCGGCCACCACAGCAATTGCAATGGCATCTCAACAGAGAACAAAAATGAACACGGAGCAGAGAGCTCGAAGAAGACGGACAGCAGCTCCGGCTCCCACTCGATCGAGCAGCCCAACGGCGGCGCCACTCCTGCTGCTGCGGCCGAGTCCTCGAGCCGCCCCCACCACGATCAATTCCAGCTGCAAATGCTGGAGGAATCGTGCCGGGGGCTCGAGTTCTCGGACCACGAGGAGGAGGACGATTTCTTCGCCGACATTCTCAACGACGACATTGTCAGCCTCGACGACCAGCTGTCGGCAGGCCTCGCTGCCCCGGACATTTCGGTCTCTGCGGCGGCAATACAGGGGCTGGCGCCGTCCTGGCTGGCGCCGCAGCAGCAGCAGCAGGGGAAGCTGGGAGAAGAATCGAAAGACAGGGGAAGGGAAAGGGAAGAGGCAGAGGCAGAGGCAGAGGAAGCGGAGAAGGAGAGGCAGAAGAGGGAGAAGAAGGTGCCGAGCTGCGCGGTGGGGCTGGTGATGTTCGTGGAGAAGAAGCGCGGGAAAGCGGTGGCGGTGCTGTTCGTGGTGACGGTGCTGATTGTGGTTGGGTTGATGGCCTTGTTTGGGTCTCTGTTTAGCCATGATAAGGTTTCTGGGAGGATCAGGGAACTCGTGCATCTGCCGGCGTTGGCGTTTAGGTCACACTCCTGGAAGGTGCTGCAACGATGGTGATGGTGGTGTAAATATAGCTAGCAGGTTGGTTGATGGTGTTACTGTTGCGGTCTTAGTTTGGATTTCTTAGCGCGCCTTTTTTTTGGGTCTTCGTCTCCAACTGTCCGTTTATAGAGGATGGGTCGAGAGTTGTCTATGCTTCATATGGACAGTAGCTATTTCTTCTTATTATGCTAGCACGGTAGCACCTCTTTCATGGTAGTAGGTCTAGATATTGATCTTTTTGTTGTGGAACGGTCTCCTATCAATCGTGCTTCCATTTGTTCCCTGGACCGTCAGTCTGTTTGGTTATGATCGTAATATATTATTTGATTGTAGGTTATTGTTAAGTAATTTTGGTTTTTTTTTTCTTCTTAACTACGTTCGTTAGTCGATTAATCGTTTAGTCGATTATCGTTTATTTAGTGAGGTCTGATTAAGCGTTAACCGACTATTTAATTATTGGAACAATAAAAGACATTTCAACCTACCGATCACTACACTATAACTTATAATAAGTTAATGATATAATCTTTAATCATCATTTATCGGTTATCTTACCAATATAGTCGCTGGCATTACCCTAGCTTACGCAGACGAGGTGTCCATTCATCTCCACACGTGTTTGCACGGTTCTAATGGGGGGCGGAGGAGGGTCATTCAAGAATTCGTTGGGTTCGTGGCGTAGTATGTGCCGGAGCAAGCATGATGGTGGCATGGGTTTTCCGTCGCTTTGAGCACTTTAATCAGGCGCTATTGGCTAAGATTGGTTGGAATATTTTGAATGACCCTCAATCTCTTCTCGCCCAAGTGTATAAGGGGAAGTATTTTCCCGTTGGCTCATTCTTAAATGAAACTGCTTGCTCGCGTCCGTCTTGGGGATGACAGAGTATCCTTCATGGACTGCAGCTGTTGATCAATGGTCTGAGGTGGCAGATTGGAAATGGGCGGACCGCCTCTGTGCTGACTTCTAGTTGGGTTCCAGGTTTGCACTCTCTGGCTCCTATTTCCAATCTCAGAGTGCTACCAGAGGGGGGCGACCCAAAGGTCCACGAGGTGATTGCTCTGGGGGTGGTCAGTGGTGTGATATCAAGCTATAGCAATGGTTTGACCCCCCTACGTGTCGGGCCATCAAGGCAATCCTCCTCCCGCGTCAAGACTTGGAGGACAAGCTCATTTTGCATGACACGTGTGATGGTGTCTTCTCTGTCAAATCGGCGTACCATCTGGCGGTCTTGTTGGATAAGCGGGATGGACGGTGGCGCTTAACTTCCAGTTGGATGGATCGGACTAGTTGGATCCTCTTATGGGATGCCAATATTCAACCGAAATTAAAAATCTTTTTGTGGCAAATTTTCACTAGGTTCTTCCTACGACGGAGGCTCTTATTGAAAGAAAGGTCCAGGTTCTACCTAGGTGTCCAGTTTGCTGGGCTGAATCGGAAATGATGGAACATTTGTCTTTCGATTGTCCGGTGGCTGGGGCCTTATGGGATCACTCAGGCCTTGAGTATTTAGGACAGGGTCTGCCGCGACATACTTTTCCTTTATTCCTGAAAAAGTTGATGAACTTGATCCATCAGCCTCAATTGTTTTTAGCAGTTGTTGCGATCCTTTGGAGGATCTGGCGGTCCCGGAATTGAGTTGTCTTTGAGGGCAAGCAGTTTGGGATCCAAGTGTTGATGAGGCAGTTTCATCAACACTACCAGGAGTGGGCTACCTTGCATGTTTCGTCTCCTATGCGTTCGCTTAACCCATCCATACCGGCATCGGTGGCGGTTCACCCAAGTGTTGTTGTTTGTCAATAGGATGGGGCTACGAAGTGTGGGTCGCACTCGACAGGTGGTATGCTTATTAAAGACCACAATGGAATGGTCCTGCTGGCTAATGGGCTATAGTTCCTGGACATTGATGATCCTCTGGTGGTTGAATTGCTAGTGTTTCGGGAGGCTATTATTTGGTGTTTGACGAATGGGTTCTCGGAGACACACCTTGAAGGCGATGCCAAAGTAATTATTGATAAGATCAACCAGGCAGATACCAGGGATAGTTAGGGGGATGTTATTCTTGAAGAGGTGGTGCGGTTCTTCAAGCTCCATTCAGGGTTGAGTGTTCGATTTATAGATCGGAGTAGTAATAGTGTAGTTTATTTGGTGGCTAAAAGAGCCCTTACATTATACCCGTCTATTTGTCGCTACTTTGATTTTGTTGCCTGGTTGAATTCGAGGATGTAATGATGTTCTTATTCACATCAATATATGATTAGGTTTTGTAAAAAAAGAAACGAAGAACTAGGTTAACATTAATATTAGGGATGGCAATGGGTCGGGTTGGGTCGAGTTTTGCCAAACCCAAACCCATGGGTTTATCCGTGAAAAAAACCCGGGGTAAAATCCACTGGGTTTGAAACTCAAACCCAACCCGCTGGGTATCCGTTGGTTCATGGGTACCCACAGATTTTTGTCGTAAAAAATTTACAATAACAAGTTTCTATCAAAATTAAGTTAAATATCAATCTCTCAATACAAATTATCCATATATAAAACATCATTCTAGAAAATTCAAGCAAATCACAAATTAACTATACAAATTGTTCAACACCAATCTAGAAAACTCAAAAAAATTGAAGAAAATCACAAATTATCCATAAATAACATGATTAATTGAAATTAAGTTTCTTCACTCTCCACTCGATAACATCAACTTCATTCTACACAATTTGAAAGAAAAATTTTCACATGTCTCCACAAACATAAATAAATTTAGTTGTTTAGAATATTAAATATTGGTGTGGGCGGGTACCCATGGGTCGGGTTTACCTAAACCCAAACCCAAACCCAACCCAACTCGATGATAGTGAACGGGTTTAAACCCAAACCCGGCCCAAAACATAGATTTTATCCGCATTGACCGAGTTGGATTGAGTGGGTACCCGTGGGTTTGAGTTTTGTTGCCATCCCTAATTAATATGAGTCATGGAGGAAGCCAATGTTGACTCGGTCATCAGTTTTTGTTTAACGTCTTTGACTCGCTTATCTCACGTCTCATGGAGCTGGGGAAAACGATAGACAGAAGAAAATACAATTCTACGCGAAAACGCCGACTCAGGGACCCGTCAGGCCGTCACCTGTCTGCGTGAGTCGTCGTCGACCACGTCTCAAGACTCAAGCTGCCGAAAATCGTCAATAGACGGAGTCGGCGAGTTTTGGCAAGTTTTAAAAACTTCGATGGTTCTTTTGTAATACGCGAAGTTTGACGAACTGGTTTTGAAATTTCGTTCCAAGTGCCGATTTTTGAATCCAGTGGAGGAGAGAGAGGAAGCGTATCACAAGTGGAGAAGCCGATTTTGGGATCCGCGGGAAGCAGCGAGAGAGAGAGAGAGAGGAGGTCGATTTGCAAGGGGGACTCCGCCGGAAGGGAGGTTCATTCTTTTTCTGTCGCCGGCTGCAACCGGCACCGCTCTTCTGTTACTTCCCGGCGGTTCTTGGTACGAAGAGAGAGGAAGGCGGGATTCAAATTGAGGTTCCACGGAGACGAGTCCTTGTCCCCTGCCAGGAACTTGCCGCAGCTGCTGCTCTCTCGTCTAACTGCTTCCGCCGTTACTGCTTGTCGGAGAGCGGCAGAGCTGAGCTTGGGAAGAGGGATACTTATACGAATAGAAAGCTTGGAAAGGGAGTTCGGTTGTAGATCGAGAGTGAAGCGGACGGAGCTGATTGGGAGTAGCCAAGCATCGCTGCTGTCACATTGATTGGCCGTTACTAGGCGTGGGTATTCTTCTCCCTGGCTACATTTACCAATCTAATTGCAACTTCATATGAGCAGATTTGGGTGTGAATTGGTTGCTGATTTCTCCTTGAGATCCAGCGATTGATTCCAATCTTGTTCAGATAGTTGTGTTCATCAATCTGGAAGCCGAGCTCTGTTGCTTGAGTTCATTTTGTTTGGGGGTGGTTGACAATTTTTTTATTTATTACAACCCTTATGTTTGCCTGGAGTTGAAAGCTAGCAGAAATGTGTTGAATTACCAAGCCCTGCTGTGCCTTTCCCGAGTTCTTGTGTTGCTCAAAATTACCTCTCTTTACATTCCCTGGAAACTGGTGTTTGTTTCTAGATTTTTTTTTTCCAATTTCTCATTCCTTCAAATTTTGGTAGTGACATAAGCTGGGGAGTTAGTTGATGAAGAAGCATAATTTTCAGCACCCCTGCTTATTTTTCTTTCTCGTTTTAGGATTAGGTTATTAGGATATTATTACCATTGACCTCGTACATTGTTTGAGATTGGTGTTGGATTTGTTCATGAGCTCCCTGCCCTCTTCATACCCTGTTGCTGTTCTCTTGCTTCCAATTTTCATTTTTGTAAATTTAGCTAATTTTATTCATAGATCCATGTGCATGTCATGACTTGGTTTTCGGTTTTGATGACTGTTGATTTGGTGGGTGGCCATGACAGCTCACCTTCCAAAGCTCACATGGTGGCTCACATTGCACTTGTGGTGCATATTTGATATGATTGTTGCAAATTATAATTATTGCGTCTTATATTGAATGCTCAAGTGGTTCACATTTGATTTTGATTACAGTTCAGTACGATGGCCTCTTATGGGTTGAACATGTTGAATAGCACTGTAAATTGGGTAACACAGGCCTTGGACGCGCCTTCTGCTCGAGCTGTTGTTTTTGGAGTCCATATTGGAGGTGAGTCTCCTTTACCTCTTGTCTTTCTCTTGCAGATGCATGGTAGTAAAATCATGGAATCCGTTTGTGATACTTGGTTACTTTTCCTGGTGAAGGTCACTATTTTGTTGAAGGACTTTTACTAGTTGTGATCCTTTTCCTGCTCTCCCAGAAAAGTTACAAGCCACCTAAACGGCCTCTGAGCAAAAAGGTTCCTTTTATTGCCGCTCCCTTTGCAACTTACTTGTATTCAATTGAAAATGGTGCTGTATTACTCAACTAATTTTCTCTACTGCCCTCAGAAGATGTAATAGCAAGGATGACATTTTATACTCGGTCAAAATATAACAGAATTATATGGGATTCTCAGAATAATGTATGCTTAAAAACTGTTTTGTTCAGGAAATTGATGAATTGTGTGATGATTGGGTTCCGGAGCCCCTGATACCTTCCATTACTAAAGAGATGCAATATCAGCCACCAGTGTTGGAAAGGTCCGTCTACTTTGTTTTATTTGCATATCTATTTACTCCTTTCAGAATTACTCTTCTGACAATCTTCATCGCCATTTAAACTTTTTATTTATACTATCCCCTGTATCATGATATTGAAGACTTGTCATGGCTTTGGTTTGATAGATGAATATTGTGGCAGTATTTATAGGAATATACTTTATGTTTATTTGGTGAAGAATGAACCGCACTCGTCTTCTGTCTAGGTGATAGAACTAAATGCCTTACCAAAACAGAAGGTGAATCCCATCCCAGCTGTATCATTCTATATTCCGAAGGGAGGTCTCTGTTGAGCCTAGGTTGTGCCTTCTGTTCCACACTTTTCTTAGGGGTTATCTTGCCAGTTTGGCTACCTGTTAAAGTATGGGGTCCTTCAATGATATCTGGTTGTTGTCTTATCTGAAATGATGCGACTTTGCCTTGGATTATACCCTTTATGCATCCATTCAGATAATCGTTGCTCATCACTGTCTTTTGATACAGTGCTGCAGGCCCGCATGTTGTAATCAATGGGAAAGAAGTTGTGAATTTTGCCACTGCTGATTATCTGGGATTAGTTGGACATGAGAAAGTGCAGGTTAGAAAATCTGTTACTGTCATGAATCCATTTCCTTTTGAACTATTCTTGTATGATCACAATGTTCACAGCAAACTTCTACTGCAGGAGTCGTGCACTGCTGCACTGGAAAAGTATGGTGTTGGTTCTTGTGGTCCTCGTGGTTTCTATGGGACAATTGGTAAGACCTAAGTGAGCATATCTCTGATATCATATATTGGGGTTGTTTGTGGTCTAATAGATTTGCTTCCTCTAGACGTCCACCTTGATTGTGAAAGCCGGATATCAAAATTCTTGGGAACACCAGACTCAATTCTCTATTCATATGGCCTTTCCACAATGTTCAGTGCAATTCCATGTTTTGCCAAGAAGGGCGACGTCATTGTTGTGTGAGTATCTGCAGTGTTTACAATACATATTTTTATTAGCACTTAAGTTCTCTGGAAAGGTGATTTGTGTTTGAAGAGGTTTGGTATTGAAATTTAGAACTAACAATTCTTATAGTTAGTTGATGTTTTACCCATGTTTGAACTGCTAATAATAAACGTGCTATGTTTTTAGGTAGTCTGTCAAACTGTCAAAAATTACTAGTTATTTATGTTTTCATACATCGAGTTGACATTCTTGTTTATGACATTGTCGTTTTAGGATCTATTATTTAAAGGTTGATTTTATTTATTACTTCTGATTTTGTCAGTGATTGATCTACATATATGAAAGTTTTTTGAGAATCTTTCCTAATTCTAGTGATGAAGGTGTCCACTGGGGGATACAAAATGGACTTCATTTGTCTAGAAGCACCATTGTGTATTTCAAGCATAATGATATGAAGTCTCTGCACGACACATTAGAAAATATTACTGCAGATAATAAACGTGCTAAGAAGTTGCGGCGCTACATAGTTGTTGAATCTGTTTACCAGGTACCTTTCTTTTTGTTTCCTGATAGTCTCTTGCATCTTGTCTCACAGTGTCATTGGAACTGTGCTTTTGTTTAAGTGTTTCAAGTTATTTTACTGACTTTATAGCATGTGAGTTTTAAACAAGAACAAATACAGTTATATGAATCGTGTTACCATATTTGCTTACCCACAAGTATGGATATTTGTGATTCTCTATAAGATTGATGGTTTTCATGATAATCTGTTGAATGTTAGGCTGCTTAATGTTCCTACATAACTATTGATTGTGCTGGTATTGGAACAGCGACATAATTGTAAATTGTATTATAGTTTTTAACAGCAAAATGATGTTCCAAGCTTTAATTTGTTCTGATATTGGAAATGTAGAATTCTGGTCAAATAGCTCCTCTAGATGAGATCATCAAGCTGAAGGAGAAATATCGGTTCCGTGTTTTTTTGGACGAGAGCAACTCATTTGGTGTGCTTGGCCAGTCTGGAAGAGGTCTTACTGAATACTGTGGAGTTCCGGTATGCCATAATCTCTGTTTCTAGCTCACCGAAAAATAAGAACTGTGTCTGTACTTACGTGTTTCTTCCTTAAACTCGTATTTTCCTTATGGCATTACAGGTTGAAAAGATAGATATAATAACTGCTGCGATGGGGCATGCTTTAGCTACTGAAGGAGGATTTTGCACTGGCAGTACTAGAGTCGTTGATCACCAAGTATGCCATATGTTCCAAAATCTCACATACAAACTAATTAGAGGCTTGAATGCTTATATATCTCTTTATAGTTTCTAAAATGAATTGTTTTATTGTGAATCAGCGATTGAGCAGCTCTGGCTATGTCTTCTCCGCATCGTTGCCCCCGTATCTCGCTACTGCTGCTATTACTGCTATTGATATGATTGAGGAGAATCCTGATCTGATAAAAAAGCTGAAAAGGAACATTTCTTTGCTGTTGAAAGGTAAGTTCTGATCACGATTTCACTTATTCTCTCTTTAAATCTTGGTATAGGGTGTGTTTTGTTAAGTATTAGTAAAACTGAAGGAAAATTGTACTCAGAAAGGTTTTAGAAAAAGTGGAGTTGATGGGATGTGAACATCCCCTAGAGTACCTGTGAAGACAAAGTGTTCTTGGTGGCTAGATTTAATATCTAAATATCCTCCTTCCGCAACTGCAGGGCTGTCCAACGTAGAAGGCCTCACCTTGACGAGCAGTCCAGAATCACCAATCGTTTTCCTTAAACTGGAGCAATCCACAGGATCGACAAAAGGCGATATGGAAGTCCTCGAAGAAATTGCCGAACGTGTGAGTAACTTAGTTCCCAATCGCACATCTTTTTGTCGTTGTTGCTGCTGCTTGTGTGATTGAAGTGTGTATAGACTGAGCTATTGTTTCTTTTTTCGCGGCTCCTTCCTCGTTTCATTTTGCAGGCTCTGAAGGAAGACTCGGTGTTCATGGTGACCTCCAAAAGATCGATTCTTGATAAGTGCCGGTTGCCCGTGGGAATCAGATTGTTCGTGTCTGCTGGCCATACAGAGGCTGATCTGACCAAGGCTTCTGAATGCTTGAAGAGAGTTTCAGCATTGGTGCTGAAGCATCGTGACTGACCTTGCCTGTTCCAACTCAGATTTTTCTTCTTTTGATCATAATTGCCTTTTCTTATACAAATTTTAGGGATTTGGTAGGCTGAGAGAAAACTAGGGAGGTGTGGGGATATACAAAGGGGAAGGGAAGGGAAGGGAAGGAAGTTCTGCTGAGAAGTTGTTCAGATTATTTATTGTTCTCTTTAGTTTCTTGTGGCCATAGATTCTTTTTTCCTTTGGGGTTTTATTAGTGTTGACTTAGTTTTTCTTACGTGGAAGATTCCATTGGATGTTCCCAAGTCAAAGGCAATCTTGTTTGTAGGATAATGCTCCTATTGAGTAAAAACTTTGACCTTGAGTTGTGTTGTATCATGAGATTATGAAAGTGGTTCTTTTGCATGGTGTATTTTTAAGGATTGGTTTTAGTTTTTTTACAATCGGAATTAAGGGGTATTTTTGGTCGGACATTAGTCTATAACTACAGCTAATGAGGAGGATTGACAAGTCAGGAAGTCACCAGAACTCGAATTTGATGTATGGAGTTACGTTGACATCTTAGTATCGCTATATTAAATGGCTGAAACAAATTTTGGAATGCTTCGGCGAGTCATGAATTGTGTAGTGAATTTGATGAAATGTTTTTATTTTTAGTGCAAAATGATGAATTGGTTAATTATCTCTTGGTATATACTATTAAAATGTGCAAGTTGTATTTATCATAATATTACAACAAATTCAACTGGTCTATAACTACAACCACCTTGTTACTATTTTATATTATAGCTAATCGCGATTGATTATTTTTTATTCGGCTGCCATATTCATTTTGAGAAGTTTTTCGGACGATGGTAATCACCATTGAACGTGTTCGCAGGTTCTTGGTGTCGTTAGATTGGACATGAACAATCTCTAATCGTTGATGAAAGCGGTAACAATTTTATAAATTTACAACGGTGAAGGAAGTAAGGTTGAGCTGAGAAAGTAAAATCAAGAGCTGCCGGTCTGCCGCCATACGGCCATGGCGAAATGGAAAAGAGCGAATTTAACAGAAACATAACGACAGTGCGACACCAACCAACGGAGCAACGCAACGCGATTTTCTCCGTCTTTCCTTCCTTCGGCTTTTCTGTTCCTAAAGGAATCTAATTTCCGCCATTAACGCTCTCGATTAAGCTCTTACTCTTGCTCCATGTCAACTCTCTGTTCCTAAGCACTTCACTTTACTTCCCCACCAAAAGGAGTTAGCTTTCTGGATGAAGCAAAAATCGTGAGTTGCTTCCAGCTTTCTGCTTTTATCAGATTTTCCCTCTTTCCGTCCCCAACTACCCTTCTTCCCCCCCTTCCGCCTCGAGACAGTGAAACAAAGCGTCTTTCCCTGATCATGAATTTGGGGTTCTCTCCTGTTCTTCGATCTGTAAGTTCCTTCTTTCTTCTCTCCTGCTGCGATTTGGATTCTTTAATGCTCTATTTCTCGAACTGGGTATGCTACGGAAGAATTTCCTGACATTGAATGATACCGAAGCCGATTACTTTGTTTTGTGACTGCTACATGCTAGGTTAGATATTGAACCGGCCAAAGTTGTGAACTTTTTATCCAGATGGAAAGCTAGGGTTCATTGGTTTGATTAGACGAACTTGGTTCTTCACTTGGGGCTTGAGTGGTGGTATTTCTTTAAGCAGACGTTCATATCGAAATGCAAGCATTTTCCTATCAAGCAATCTAAACATTCAGGTGGGGTTTGCCACTTGGACGTTTCTTTGCTTTTCATTTATGGGTTTGGCTATTGGTGTACAGTGTACTTAGGGTGTGGTAATTGAGCAGGTATTGTAGGAGAACCCCCAGCCATCTGTTGCGATGTCAAGGCCTATGCTACTAGTCTTTCTGCTGCTTATACTCATAATTACCTCTCAGTTTGAATGGAGACAACAACTTGTAAACGACATTGACCCAACTCCTGGGATAACATCTAAACAGCAACAAATATCAAAAAGGGAAGAAGCTGTCAAGGAGAAGGTATTTCTTGTGCTATCCTTTATTTCATCAGTGTGCATTTCAGGGATTTGTGAAGTTAGATCTCCTTGTTATCTTTGTGTACTTCTTCCTGTTTGGCTCCAAGAGATAGTATGTCTCTAAAGGCTGGTGATCTCTAGTTCCGCTGTCGACCTTATCTTGCCTGTTGAAATTTCCCTATCTTTAGCAGACAATATAGCTGCAGAACAATTAGCTTTGCTCAAGTGATACAGAGTGGAGAACATTTTTGATGACTTCAAAGGCTCTCTTAAGCTCAGACTGGCTACTGTTTACACTTAAGCAGTGTTGAAGTACCATATATCAGTTTCTGTAGCAAGCATGTTTTTGGACTTTCTCTACTGAGCTATTGATGGAAATTTATGTGATCATTGTTTTGATACGTTTTTGAAAGATCTAATCCAACTTTCTTGAGGAGCTGATATGAATCTTTTGTAATTTGCCATGCTCATTTGCTTAAATCTCTTTTTTTTTTTTTCCGGCCTTCTATATGATGTATGGTAGGTTTTTTATTAGTCAATGGTGATAGCTCTACTTTTCTAGAGTTCATGACTGGTTTTCTCCGTCTCAAATATACATTTATAAGAATAGGCAAGCACTGACTCGTATCAAGAGTCAATCCTCTGTGCTCGTACATTGCAACTCTCCTAATTTTAGGATCGGGGGTTGAAGTTAGGCCTATCCCAATCCAATGTGCTTCAGTTACTCTGGGATTAACTTACTTATTACAAGTTACAAGCGTTTGAGACAACTTTCCGCCCTCTATATGACTGAAAGATGTAAGATGTGGTGAACTTGCTGAAAGATGATAATTACTACATGTGATGTGATTAAGATGATTGGTACCATGGTGTCTGTCTTCACAATTGTTTATAATTAGTTGTTTCCCGTGATACAGCTTAACTGTTAGAAACTTGAGAACTTCTGTCAGTGGGTCTTGTATGGTAATTTCAGTTGCTTATTTTGGTCAGCAGTTTAATCCTTGGAATGATTCTGCAATACGATGGTCTTAGCTAAATTTTAGGCCTGTTCTGACATATGCTCCTTGATATGGTTGGATATTCTACACAGTGTGAACTATAGTGCAGGACAATGCGCTGCGCTCTTTATTTTACTAAAGTTGATGCATTTTGCAAAATTAGGATTGCTAAATGCTACCAAATGAAAGGATCATAGTTTGACATGAAACCTGATGATTGCTTCAATTTTTGTCTTTCTGACTGAGTGATTGCCAAAATTCTCACCTGATGTCTTTCTCAAATATTATAGCACACCACACCATGTTCTTATTGGCATATACTGGTGAGATCCTCGTTCCCTCAAATATTAACTACGAACATCCACTTGCAGATTATCCTTTCACAAGAGAAGAACATTCACAAGCTGAACGAGTTGGTTCGGAATCTTCGACAGCAACTATCAGAATGCAAGTGCAATAACGAAACGTCGACTGCAACTGCAAATAGTTTGACTGATCATGTTATTGAACTTGAAAGACAGCAGTTTCTGGAGGATTAAGCCGATGTTTGTAATACTAATAATACCAATTAGATGTCTTCTTCGACCATGTGCTTGGAAGATGAGTTCCACGCCGCCCAGATTGCAACTTATTTCATCGCGCCCTTGCGTCGATCCCTACTTCACAGGGTGAATTCCCTCATTTGAGTCAATGATCTTTTCCTTAGTTAGCTGACTGTTCATGTTGAGAATGTGTAAATCTTGTACGGCTGCATTCGTTCTGTTAAGTCTCAAAGTGTAAAAATTTCTTGAAAATAGGATAATATAGCTTCTATTTCATGTCTTGCTTGTGAACCTTTTGTTGAAGCCATTGATTAGCTGCCAGCCATGTTTGTGATCAATCATATAGGAAGATTCAATCGGCTTCAATGGTGATAGAACTGTAGACATAATTGTATCTGTATGGTTGGCTTTTGGTATAGCTGTAGTTTTTTACTTTACAAACACCATCCTTTACTCTTTAACATTGGCCGGGCTAACATGAGCCATTCTCATGGGATGGACGAGTATTTCAATATCCATGCTACCCCGGTCGAGCATCGTACATGAACCAGGTTGGATAATCTTGCAAGTGTTGATCTGAAATGCTATTGACTACCACTACCAGTTTCGAGCTTCTGGACCTTTGGATGAGGACGGTGATTGATCAACTCGAGAGCGCGAAACCGTCATCGAAGCAGGAGAGAGAAACGGGGGGAAGGTTAGTGAACCTGTTGCCAAAATTGTGTGGACACAATGAGTAACTTGTCCACATGGGACACTAAATGTCTATGGCTAACAGAAATAAATTTCATGAAAGTGAAAGGAAGTGGGGATCAAGTCCAGGTTCTTTGGGAAAGGATGATTGCATTGCATGCTTATCTTGCACACACACACATGAATATCTTTAGTCAAAAGTCAAGAACTCAAATTAAATGAGCCATTAGGAAGAAAGTGGGGGGAAAAAAGACCCCAAATTTGTTGAGTAAATCTGTGCACATAAAAGAATAATTGGCTGAATAGCTGCCTCTGTCAACCGTTTGCAGGCCTGCAGGCAGTCAACATTCAATCCTTGGCCTAGCAATAAATGACACTTGTAATTTGATTTGGCTACAGCTACACAACCCTCTTATAATTTCTTCATTACACACACGGCTGCATCAATTTTTTCATGGTCAGGTGTATGATCCGAATCCTCACGAGTCCGATCATTTTTCATCGTAGAACGAATGACTTGCATAATCTTTTTGTTCTCGGAACACACAAAATTGATTCTACTCATTGAAATGAGATCGCGTTTGAGCGGGATTCTAACATTTTCTGATAACACATCATTCGCTTCGTGCAACTACAGAGCAAAACAAGGTGGCCATATTTGTTATGTCAATCGATTCATTCCAAGCCGCGAGAATCATGTGTGCATGTAAGGTTTGTGTATGTGTCAAACAGATAGAAGAAGAAGAAGAAGTGCTTAATTTGTTAATTAATTGATCACAAGAGTTTTGAGTTAATTTCTTTGAAAAAATTATGTGGAGAAATTAGCCGGTTATCTTATGTCATGCGTGACGTGATTATAGTTGCCATGTGTGTGTATGTCAAAGATTACTAAATAGTACATACCATTAGCCAAACCGTAAAGCCCACCTTTCATCACTATCTAGGATGGTTTGGTATATTATGAAAACATCATATTAGTCGGTTTTACATAGTTAAATTGGTAATCTTTGATAATATTGACTGATTTGAGTGTACCAATAATATATCATGTGATTCTCTTATTTGGTACGGTTTTACAAACCCTTACATACATACTTGTTTCCTTTCCCTTTTCCATTCGATTTAGTCACAATTAAGCATACGAATCTAGTTAACCAAATTGAAGATTCTATTTAACGAACATGCAAATTAGAAATCTTGCCAGTTTGGATCATCCTCGCTTTAGAATTCACAATCTCCACTTAGAGTCATTATTGGATATTCCTAAGGATGACATGTGATCACGAAACCAAAAACGATACTCACGTTATTCACCGATCAAAATGCTACTTGCACGCAACCTTACAATCATTCACGAATTTCCACCTTCCTCCTCCTCTTCATGTGTGACATACAATCATCATCTACGCGTGTAACACATTCACACAAGAAAAAAAGTAAAACTCTCTACAACTACTGCAGATATACTCTGGCCAGCCTCGAAATCTCAACCGAAAAACGCTTCTACAATTAATCTCCAGCGTAACGGATCTCAGCGCGCGATTTAATTTTAAACCAATTTGTTGCAACCAAAAAAAAAATTTTAATGAGGCAGATATGACAGTGAACATACATGCACGACCCATGAAATTTGCTAACTTCAATTCTTGCTGTTCCATACTGTTACATTGAATAACATCGTCACCAGACCCAACCCTGAACAAAAGCAAAGAGCTAGGTCGACTTGGTTTTGAATATTAAATTTTCCACCTATATTTTCCTCCCCCCATATTAATTAATTTCACCATCATTAATAAAAATCACTCACCACCACCTTTTCTCATTTTACCACCCAATCTTATTAATTATTGTCGTCGCAATCCATAACTATCAGATATTACACCAAACCAAATTTTCTCAGCTAAATTCATTCATCTAACCCACCAGCCTATATATATACACACACACACAAACCCACCGTTATCCATATTCCACCGCCCGACTTCCCAATATAAAATTAAGAAATCCCCTCCGGCGCCGGCGGCAATACTTTTCCGACCACACGCCGTTATTCTTCATTTGACGAGGTTATTACTTCCGGTAGCTATACATGACATGACATGCTTCTGTTTTTATGTTTTTTTTTGCCTTTTTCTGAATTTTTTTTGTTTAGGTGGGATGGGGCGGCGTAGAAATCGAGGTGCCAGCTGTCAGCAGCTGGATTTGAGGCTGAACCTGTCTCCACCGCCCAACGACGACGGCGGGGAGGGGTCGCCGCAGCCGCCGCCGGCGTCGAGGTGCTCATCTTGGGAGAGCTCGTGCGTGTCGTCCTCGGCGGAGGAGGAACTAGGGGTGACGGCAGCTCCGCCGGCGGCGGCGCCGATGATGCTGGTGGGGTGTCCCCGGTGCCTGATGTACGTGATGCTGTCGGAGGTGGAACCCAAGTGCCCCAAATGCAAAGGTTCCGTTTTGCTTCATGATTTCCTCAACCGTCGCCACGAAGAACGACGGCCCGCCGCCGGCGGAATCCGCAACTGAGTCCCTCTCTCCGAACCCGCCGCCGCCGGCGGTTCTTTCATTTCCATATATTTCCCCTTTTTGTTATTGAATATTTCTTCCCACCATTTTGGCACCATCGATCCAGTTTCCTCTAATTTCTACCTTCTCTTCTGTCCTCTCAATTCCTCATATAGTGTGTGGGAAAGGAATCAATCCATATTTGGTTTGGATTTAATTTCGTAGTCTCTTAAAAAGTTAAAAAAAAACCGAATAAAAAATGAAACTAGAATGAATAGGACTATACATTTTAGTCGTGTCTATACCAATTCAAGTCGATTATGGACCACTTCACATTCAATCTAGATGTGTATCATATGTACATATTATTATTATTTTAAAAAAACGATAGCTAATAAGGTCAGTACTTGCAGTAATATTGTATCAAACTATCTTTCCAAGGTAAACCAAATTTGATTATCGAAAATTCGAGAACACTAGCTGCAGCCGGTGACACCGAATAATTTACAGGCTAAAACTCCCGAGCCATAGTACATAACACTCCCTACTCCCTAGCTGGCTTGCTACATTTTAATGAGATGCGGTCATTAAACCTGTCATGCATAGCACGCTTCGTCGGTTGAAAATCTGGTGCCAATTTCATAATTGTTCTGATACGCGCAATTCAACTAAATTCACAATCAGATTACTACACATCAATGCTTTTAAAAAAAGAAAATCTAACGTATGGTAACGACAGTTCAGTCATAATGAACGATGGAGAATAATCAAGAACTAGTAGAAAAGAAGAGAAATAAAGGTATATAGCTACCCTTAACCAGAATGGAACTATAGCCAGCTAGCTAAGGTTTGAACGTAATTTGTAACATGTCATACTCTTTAAATGCTTGATGTTGATGAAACATTAACTACACACACAGCAAGCAAAGGTACGTACGTACCCACTATACTGCTGCTGGATCAGAAAATTAGGCCGGTGGGCCGGCACACCGGCCCAACCCAATAGTCTTCTTTTTAGACGACGTCCAGCTCAAGCGATCCATTTCAACATGAATGCATATTCAACGGTTTCACAGGGTAGTAGTTGAGCTAACTTTTCTTCTTCCCCTCCGCCACCCATGAAGTTAATTAATTAATTAATTAATTAACCTTTGGTGCTGTCATTAATTACCGATATGGAAGCTAGCCCTGCAATTTATGCAGCTCACATGATCTATCAAGCCATTTTTAGTACCCCCACAATAAATCACAATTCACACACCTGCAGCATTGTATTTTTCTTCCAGAACCAGCGGTGGATCGGTTTGGTTTGGAAAAAATCGTATGGAAGATTGTATCGGAAAAGTCCGTTCTAGCGATATTTTTTTGCTGAAATCATGATTTGATTTCCGCCGAGAGTGAATGACAGACATTATTAACCAACCAACTGATGCAGACCACACTTAAACATCCACTTTTTCCAGGAGTATTATTGCCTGCAGGCAGCTTGTATAGGGAGGGAGGGGTGCCACCAGCTTTAATACCAGTTAGTATATACATATGCTAATCAATGATTTAAGGCGACCTACTTAAATTAAAACACCCTTAATTGTCCCATTTGAACTGAATTATCAGAATTTTTCAGAGCCATTACGGAAAAAGGAAACCCAACTTGTCGAGGAAACAAGCTATATAGCTTAGCTAGCTGGTTTCGTTGTCAATGCTCTACGGCTCTACCTAGCTAGTGGATCCTAGCGGGCCGTATAGAAGTATCCAGGCCCCGGTCCAGGCCCAAAAAGAGGTCTTTCGGGAACTAAAAATCAAGGAACTAGTAATAGGCCATAATCATTGATCAGGCCCATAAAATTCAGACTGTTCTTTAGTAAAGCCCATTTGTACGCATTTTTTGTTCTTCTTTTTATTTGGAGAAGGAAACACGTTGTCCACATTCGAGATGGTAATGTTTTCAATTTGACACAAGTGACGTGCTAGCTACATGTAAGTTTGGTAGTTTGCCAATAAATATATATAGGATCAATATTATGGGTATGGTGCTTAACCACTTCCTTACATGTAAAGCTATAAGGCTTCTTGGAATATTGATTGCTGACATGTTTTATATTTAAATTTTTAGTAGATTGTCCAATATAACGCTGGAACGATTATTTCAAATCATACAGCTCAAGAACGAACTAGTATCCAATTATTCTAGCATAGCCGGAGTGAGGGAATGGAAGGAAAAAAAACATTGAATTTTAACGAATTAGAACCATGATAGTCAGATATGGATGGCCATTACCTTGCTAATTTTTCTGATTTCTTCCCAATTTGTACATATTGTTGCTAGGACTGCAAATGAGCCGAGTCGAGTCGAGTTTTACCCCAGTTTGAGCTCGGCTCGAGCTAGCTTATTTACTAAAATCTTGACTATTATTTGGTATTTCATTTAGTATATCATTATACATATGATTTTTATTTTGTTAGTTAATCTCATATTATACTTTGTTGGTATCATATATCATGTAGTTAATAAATTTTAACTACTCAAAATCATGTTATTTCATAGTATCGAAGCAATCTATGATACATAATTTCTTTTTAAGTAAAAACTAAGATATATTTGCTCACATACTCAACGTGTTAACTTTATATATGGTGAGATATATAATTTAACAACCATATGAATTAGAATCATAAGTTACAGATTGATTAGTCCATAAGTCGGTAAGCGAGTTGGCTCTCTAGTCACATGTTGAGACACACCATGAGCTCTAAACGAGCCAGCTCACGAGTTTAGCTCAACAAGCCACCGAGTCAAGCTGAAACTCGCGAGCAAAACTTAGCTCATGTTCGGCTCGTTTATTAACGAGCCGAGTTTCGAACGAGTTTTTCTCGAGTCGAACGCCGAGCTGATCGACTCATTTGCGGCCTTAATTGTTGCTAATGGTTTTACTTTTTTATTTTCCAGACCTATAGTAGCAAGTTGCTGGAAGGATAAGGCCAATTGGGCTATGAAAAGAAAGGAAGAGTGCATTATGGATGTGTCGGGGGAATGGGCCAAGTGGATGGCGATTTTGAAAAAGGAAACAAATGGTGGGGTGGCTTCATGGGAAGATATTTAGTTAGTGTATTAGATATTTATGTTAGTGTAACTATCCGATCGAGTAAGTAGCTAGCTTTCTTCTTGGATTTCAACTCATGCTATTCAAATAGACCGACATTATATTTATAACCATATAAACAATGCAATTATGTCCGATTCAAATCGGTTGAATCTCTAGCAAGCAAACATTTTTTTCTTTAACAGCATCGAGAGTAATCTTGCTTATTTCAAAAATGACTTAGAATGTACATTTTGAGCTAGGATATCCAGGTACGAATCGATTAAAATTCGGCCGCGCGAACCTCATAGCCTTTAATCCTTTCCTGAGGTTTTGGATGGATGACGTCCGGTTTTGTGCAGTCAAAATCTGTGTGCTAGTAGTATGCCTGTCCAAATTGTGGGGACACAACACAACAAATGATTTCATATGTAGGGATACCAATTATAGATACATCCTAGCAACTTGCAACCCTAAAGTTAGAATATACCTAATTTTGTGCAATTATTAACAACCATCTATGACTGGCTATATTGGATTTAACTAAAGAATATGACCCCTTTGGTCTGTCTAAAAAAAAGAATGACCCATAATTGGGAGTCCCATTTCTTAAAGTTGATTTAAGGGGCTGCGATCTACACTCCTCCGAATATTAGTGGCTTCCACCATATTAAATAACCCAAGTATCCATGTATATATATTATATAATAAATTTGTGCATGTGATTAATTGATTGTGTATATGATAATGCACGGAAGTCTATTAATTAATCCTAAGCGTAGTTACTGATCATGATTATCATGTACATACAATACTTGTATATTGATTGTTTAAATCATGTTCGTATTTATGCGATGCCTCTATAAAATCCTTAATCGATTAGCTGTGAAGACGATTAAGAATAACCCTTCTGAAAAATAAAAATAAAAATAAAGATGTAATCTAATATATACATAATTCTGTTTCAATTCAACGTGATAATCATTTTCATCATTTTTATCATACATCAAAATGAATTTTACGTCACAGTGAGTAACTGGGCCTCCAAAAGTTCATTGAGTAACCTGAGAGTGAGTCTGATGACTTTGTTAAAAACCATTTACAAAAAAAAAAAAAAAAAGTGCTCAACGTTATTATTATTATTATTCCACCAAGTAATCCAACCACCGCAAATCTGTCGTCGTCTATCTTGAATTATATCAAACCCACTAGTTGCAGGAAACTTCCTCTCCGTCTCCGGAGGTGGAGCCTGCCTGCCGTGAACCAAACGGGTACTTCTCCTTCAATTTTTTAGACCCTACAACGCCCATATAAATGCATGCAACTTGCAAACCCGTTTTTACTCGTACATCCAATTTCCCCCAACGTTTTCCTATTTGTGCTATAGATCGATCTAGCAGCGTTCTAAGGTTTTGTTAAACGAGGAATCGTTACGTTCACTACTTTCATGGGCATGGCTATTAGGGAATATAGGGTTCTGCTCTTCTTCTTCTGCTGCTGCTGCCTCCTACCGTCGATGATAAGCTGCGGCGGCGGTGGTTACGAATCCATGATCAAGAATGGGTCGCCGCTGGCGGCTGGTTTGAGCCGGAGCAGCTTCCCCGATGGCTTTGTTTTTGGAGCTGGAATTTCAGCTTACCAGGTGACTCGACCGAGCTACTTATTTTACTTCATTTGCTTCTGTTTTGGTCGTGTCCTATAGCTATAATAGCATATTATGTTCTGAGTGTTTGATGTTTTCAGTCTGAAGGAGGGGCAGCATTATCTACGTACGGAAGGGGACCAAGCATATGGGATAGTTTTGTCAGGAAATTTCCAGGTTCATCAGTTTGGTCCTTCTCTCTCCAATCTCCTTCTTGTATCCATTATGTTTTTTTGCTCTATGGATTGTTGATCTCGAGGTTCGTATTTTCATTTTGAGCGAAGTAAGATTCAATACTCCATTTTCAAATCACGGGATCATGATGATCAGCTGGTTTTTGAAAATAACTCAACCCGCGAGGTCAATGTTCGTTTCGTATGGGTACTTTTACTGAAAGTTCATTATTATCATTGACGTTTTTTTTAACGTATTTATTCATTAGTAAGAAATGATTAATGTCAATATTTTTGTATGTAATAAGCCTACAACTTAAAGAGAAAGTTTAAAGCAAGTATTTATTGTATATATATATTTTTTTCAATAACATTTCCCTAAACAGTTAAGAATTCAGGCTTTCCCTTTTAGGGCAGGACTCAAAATAGGAAAAAGGGAAGAATGTCATATCCTGTAGGGATCAATTGAAAATCAGTTCAGCAGCAAAAAACAAAAAAAAAACATATAAATTAAATAAAGCTGTCTTGACAGGGACAACTTACGGTCAAACTAGCTATTAGTAATAAACTGGTCAATTCTGTCGATTTTGGTCATTATTATAATTTATATCGATAAATTGCCAATTGAAAAATTAATATGCGCATATAGTCAGTTTGAACTTATTATGTATGTAACTGTCTCTCTCTTTTTTTTTTAATGACAGAAAAGATAATGGATGGTAGCACGGGAGACATAGGGGACGATTTCTACCACAGATTCAAGGTAATTTCTCTCTTCCATAAGTTGTAAAGTATAATTACAAAAGTAAAGGGTATTTTATAAAAATAAAAACAAAAATAAAAGGTAAAAGAAACAAATTATCACTTATTAGTCATGAACTAAATACATTGAATATTGATGCATGCAGGAGGATATTCAACTGATGAAGACGATTGGATTGGACTCCTTCAGATTTTCCATCTCCTGGACCAGAATTTTCCCAAGTAAATTAATCAACAACCAAGCTCACTAATTATTTATTAATATATAAGTATCAACAGTATTTATAAAGAATATGTTTTTAACATTAATAAACATCATTTAGTAGGTAATTAAGCACTAATTTTTATGCATTTTTTCAGACGGCAAGCTTAGCGGTGGAGTGAATCAACTTGGCGTCAAGTTCTACAACGACCTCATCGATGAACTCCTCTCCAATGGTGAATTCTAGCTATATAAAAACATAATTAATAATTTCCAACTAATTAGTGTTGTAAATATTTTGCATTGTATATAGTTCTGATGATTAATATTTTGATATTGATTAATTAGGTATAAAGCCATTTGTCACTCTCCTTCATTTCGACCCTCCCCAAGCTCTAGAGGATGAATACGGCGGCCTTCTAAGCCCTACATTCGTGTAAGTCATTATCACCCCATTTAACCCAATTACTGATAAAAGTAGTGCTAATTAATTTTTTTTTTATTTAAATACAAGAACGACGAACTCATGAACCTCGAGAAGTTGGATCTTATAGTAATGTCGAGACGAGAACATTCATCACAAAGTGATTTGGAATCTTGAAGTAAAAAAAAAAAACAATACTTAATTATGACGCTTTTTTATTATATAGGGACGATTTTGTTGTATATGCGGACTTTTGCTTCTCGACATTCGGAGACCGAGTCCAGAAATGGGTGACCATCAACGAGCCCAACTCGTACACCATGAACGCCTACGACTTTGGCAAATTCGCCCCCGGCCGGTGCTCGAGTTGGATGGGGAACAACTGCACCGACAGAGGCGTCGGCGGCGACTCCTCGACCGAGCCGTACGTGGTGGGCCACCACTTCCTTTTGAGCCACGCGGCGGCGGTGAAGCTGTACAGGGAAAAGTACCAGGCGAGGCAGAAGGGAGGGATCGGGATCACGATCGCCACCCACTGGTTCGAGCCCAAGTACAGAACCCTGCCCTCGAGCCAGGTGGCGGCTTCGAGGGCATTGGATTTCCTGTTCGGGTGGTTGGTCCACCCGATCACGTACGGGGACTACCCCAAGAGCATGAGGTCGATGGTAGGGGATCGGCTCCCAAGATTCACTAGGGAAGAATCGGAGATGCTGAAAGGGTCCATTGATTTTCTGGGCCTGAATTATTACACCATGAATTACGCCGAGAACACGCCGCCGCAGCTTTTGGCCGCCGCCACCACCACCAATCCTAGCTACTCCACCGATAGCCGTGCCGTTCTCTCCAGTACGTATATTGCCGGCGCCGGCGCAGATCGATTTTTGTCACGTTGTCATTATTGTCTTGTTGAAGTGTGTGACATTTTATATATATATATATATATATTAATGAAATTCATTGACTAATGATGTCATATTTATTTACTTGTCTCGTGTTTCTTCCTGCAGCTGAAAAGGACGGCATCCCGATTGGCACACCGGTATGGATTATTCTACAGTGTCTTAATTTTTTTTAATTGATTTTGTAGCCTAATTTCGGTTCTTAATTATGCTTAATTTTATCAATAAGTTGATTAATGGAATGGGATTTGGGTTTCGATAATGGCTGCAGACTGCTTTGGATTGGCTGTTCATATGCCCAAAGGGATTCCAGAAGCTGCTGCTCCATATAAAGGACAACTACAATAACCCACCGGTTTACATCACTGAGAATGGTAAGGATTTTAAGGAATTTTTCATTATTAATCATCACAATTTACAATGGATGATCATGATGCACCGTCCTAGTGGGGCTAGTTAGTAAATACTCAGTTTAATATGCACATATGTGAAAATATTTATTTTATCCGTTTAAAACTTATGTTTCCTTATTATTGTTATATGCGCTCATTTAATTTTATCGAATAATCCCTTTTATGGTGTGTGTAGGAATAGCCGATCAAAGTTCGTTGTCGTTGGAAATGGCGCTCGAAGACACGCTGAGAATAAAGTACCATAGCACACATCTTCAATCCTTGTCGAATGCGATCAAGTGAGTATTATGTTCTCTCTAATAAAATCAAACCAAGCGATATGTATAGTATTTGAACGGGGTACAATTGACGCGACTGGTTTGATAATACCATATCCAATGTTAACATGCGGTGCATGTGGTTGTAATGTGGTAGGGGTGGGGCCAACGTAAAGGGTTATTACGTGTGGTGCTTCTTTGATGATTTTGAGTGGGACGCTGGTTATACGGTGCGTTTTGGGATGACCTACGTGGATTTCAACAACAATTTGAAGAGGTATCTCAAGGCTTCTGCGTATTGGTTCCAGAACTTCCTTGCTTCACCACCATCAACTCTCCAAAGTGAAATGTAGTAGGAAAACTATTACTTGTCTATTTTGAAGAAGAAGAAGAAGAAGAAGAAGAAGAAGAAGAAGAAGAAATGTGTGATCATTTTGTTACTCAAGCTGTAAATATATATAACTTCTGTTGTTACTATGCAACATGCTTTTAACCCCAAAAATTGCACTTGTGAGAGCGGCAAACTTTTTTTTTTCCCCCGGTGCAAGCGGCAATTTTACTCTATGGAGCTAGATATGCATTAACTTAATAGTCAGAAAAAAGGAAATGCAAGATTGACCTAGCTAGCTAGAACACTTTTCAGAAAGGCATGCCTTAGAAACTTTAGCGGGACCATTTTGGAGATGTATGTAATGTACGATTTAATCAATAACCGGCCATTTTGGGGTTTGGGTTCAGCCACTTTTACGCAAATTGTATCATTTATATTTTCACAAAACTCATATCTCAAATGTGCAAAATATGAGTTTTGGAAGATTTTAAACCGCTTGGAAGATGAGATAGTCATAAAAATTATTTGAAATCTCGGTTTAGTTTGAAATCATTTGATATATATACATAACGATGAGCTGAAATCTGAACAAGTATCTAGATCATAAATCACATAGAAAGTACTAAGTAGCTAGCTGGATCGACTTTGGATAGTTTTATCACTGGCGGAGCCAGAGTTTGTAAGTACATGTGTCCTCTTTCCATAATATAAATATATAATAAATAAATATATAATAAATATAATTAAAACTAATAATAACCAAATAATTCATTGATAGATATTAATGAAATACTAGATTAACACAATCAACATTTTCATAAGCACTTCAACACGTTTTCAAATTCTCAATGTATCCGACTAAGTAACCATTAGCAAATTGGTCGCAATTCGACTTTGAAACTTGTTTTTTTATATATCTCAAAGCTAAAAATGTTCTTTTTACACTTGCAGTTGCAACGAGTAGAGTCAAAACTAACTACAGAAGACGGAGAGATCGATTTTTAGTATTGTGAATTTTGTTTATAGTGTGATAAATTAGTTTATGTTAGCTTTTAAACTTGAAATAACTTGTAGTGTAGTGATAATTCGCTTTTATATTACCTAAAGGTGATGAGTGCAATCCTTAATTAATATATGAGTATTTTATTTTACCCAAAAATTGCCTGTGTCCTAAAACACATTCAATTGGCCTTGGCGCTCCGCCTGTGATTTTATCTGCTAGAGAAGACAAACCCGGGGATGTTGTTACACATGCACACCACAATTTGATCACGTGTATATGTACCATACATATACCATGTGCAGCACGTGGGTCCTTTTGCAAATTAGTTTAAAAGGCTCTAACGTGCTTGATTAATGAACTTGTACCCTATTTATCGTGGAGCCAGGTACGTTTACGACTGTATGTTACCATATAATATATACACTAGGATGATAGTCCACGACATGATTGAGCGAGACACGAGACCGTCGGAAAGGAAAAAAGGAATGAACCACCATTAAATTAAACCACGGTTTCAAGTTTCAACACAAAAATACCTCGTAACTATCTCTTGTTGGAATGTTTTACAATCCTTGCTAAAAACGAATAGTGAAATGGTGAATCTTCCTTCTTCCCTTTTATGTAGGTTATAGCTAATAATAACTACGTTAGTTATTGGCCCTGCATGTACTGCTTGTCATGAACCAGTTGCTCCCAATAACTCGAGTTGTTGGGAGAAGGTTATGTTGGATCTTATACAGGCCCGTGTATGGTGCTTAACCACTTCCTTACACGCCCCCTCAAACGAAAGCCGACTCATGGGCTTGAAGTTTGCACAGGCCCGCCATACCATGTGCTTGAAAGACAACGATTAATATTGGGGGTCGTGAGGACTTGAACACGTGACCTCAAGGACAACCAGCTCTGATACCATGTCATGAACCAGTTGCTCCCAATAACTCGAGTTGTTGGGAGAAGGTTATGTTGGATCTTATACAGGCCCGTGTATGGTAATGGGTTGGGTCGTTACCCATACATGTTACTCTATTCAAAGTGGTTTGGGTTTTACTCATATCTATACACACATAAGAAGCGGGTAGAAAATCAAAATCATGTCCATATCCATTAGGATTTCGGGTATCCACGGTTATCCATGGATAACATTTTTTCTTTATAATTCCAACCAATATGTTAACCTTCTCAACGTATACTCACATAATATAAGAGGAGTGTAGTATGACAATAAATCACTATAATGGATAAAATTCATTAAAACAACACAATTTAGATGACAATATTATATTTGTATACTAAAAATAAAATATGTTAGAGAACAATTATGATTATTTCTAGACACAAAATGTATATGCATGTGTATAATCGGACGGTTTCGGGTTGGATACTAAGAAAACCATGTCCACCCATTACCTGCAATATTCGAGTTCGGGTTTTACCAGTACCCACTAAAAATTCTCCGAGTTCGAATTTTATCCTACCCAATTAGACCGTATTCGGAAGGATATCCACTATTTTTTACATCCCTCCCGACGAGGTTATCATAACATAAGGTGGTCAGCTAGCTAGCTAGCTAGTTCGGGTATTAGTCGCTCGTGGTGGACGGATATATAGTTAGGTACTTAGTTAGGTAGTTAATTAGGGCATGTTGATTGGTAAGTATGTTAGAGTCGTGCACATTTCCTGAAGGAGAGACAACCCCTCTAGCATCTAGCCTCAGCCTGTCTATATATAGAGCACTCTCCAACTCGAAGATTACAGCCAAAGCCAAGTGAGCGAGCAAGGGTAGCTAGCTAGGCGAGTAAACTTGTCGACCGGTCGAGATGGAAATAAAGGGTAGGAAAGCTTGTTTGTTTCTCATCATCTTCTTCCACTGCCTCTTGGCGACTCGCACATCAATTTGCTCCGCCATTGTTGCAACTCCTTTGAGTCGAAGCAGCTTCCCGAGTGGGTTTCTGTTTGGAGCCGCGACTGCTGCGTACCAGGTAAACTCAAAATGTCCACGACGTGTGTTATCGTATTTTTAAAAAAAAAATATTATAAAATACTCATTGTCTGTAATGCTCAACAGATTTCTTTCAATATATTCTACTCGACAATCATTCACGACTCGCCTATTCGATCCACGAAACTTGTTCTCGATGTAATCCAAAACTTAAAAAAAAAAAAAAACACTCTCAACACTTAGAGAGTTGCAACCGGTAAAATCAATACAACTTTGAGGCGTAAATAGACCCATGGGTTATGGGTATATGATAGATTCAATTTTGTCTCCACCATCAAATCAAGTAATTCATCAATTCTTTTTAATCCAGAAAATAAGTCATAATTTTTAATTGCAGGCATTGGAAAAAATTGGAATAAAGACTACACATTTATAATTACATTCCTGACAAAATTATAAAAACAAATGAAATGTAGTCAAATAGAATAGGTGTTTACTAATAACTAATGTATTATAAATTCGAATCACATATACTGCAATTTTATTTCTTTTATTCAATACTCAAATTACTATTGGGAGTTTATTAATTTTTTTTCCAAAATTTAGAGGTGTACCCTACCCTCCTCCTCGGTCCGCCCCTGTTCTTTGGATATATCGAAGAAGGGATCTTAATCACTCTTTCTAAGATGGAATTCATTGGGCTTGAAAAGTACACCGGCGGCGGCGCTACGCTATCATGCTTTTTGTCCATTTTGTTAAATAATGTAATAATTTTAAGGAACGACTTCCTATGTACCAAGTGTTCAAGTATAACTTAACGGCTCAAGATAGGGTGCATAACCATGGGTTATGCACCCATAAATAAACAAATCTGGACCCTTCATTTAGAAAATCCAGATCTAAGGATGGAGAATTAAAGGCTATTTTTATTTTCACTAGCTTTCTTAATTGACTCATATCTTTTTCGTTTTAACTCGGATTTTAATTTTTTTTGCACAGATGGAACGAATTCATCGTGCTCTACAAAATGAGATCAATTTTCAATATTTTTTTAGGAAAAAAAAGTTCTGTCCTCTCGGTACCAACTGCATACCATATGGTATCTTCTTCGTTTTTAATTCGTTTTTGAAAACGTTTGCACAGCAGAGATGAGTTCATCATGATCTACTGGATCTACAAATTTCTGGGTGAACAAATTACAGGACCAAAAAATACCACACAATACCATACAATACCACCCTGGTACGTGGTGGTATTGTATGGTATCTTCTTCGTTTTTAATTCGTTTTTGAAAACGTTTGCACAGAAGGGACGAGTTCATCATGATCTATTGGATCTACAAATTTCTGGGTGAACAAATTACAGGACCAAAAAATACCACACAATACCATACAATACCACCCTGGTACGGGGTGGTATTGTGTGGTATACAATGTTAAAAGTCGTAAATTACAATTAATATACTTTTACTATTATGTATTCAACCATCCTACAGTATTGGTTTGTTCATACCACCATGGTACATTTTTCAAAACATAGGTATGCTTTTATTTCAATACCAGTCAAATACCATATGGTATAGGCTGGTAAAAAATGGCTCAATTTTTTTTGTTCGAAAAATATATTAAAGTGGATATCATTTTGAAGAGCACAATTAATCTGATCTAACTGTGCAAAAAAAATTAAATTTCGACTTAAAATGAGCGAGAAATCGTCCGTCAAAGATTAAAGAGTGAAAAATTAAAGGTTTTCCATGAGAGAGAGGATGCTGATGTCATGCTGATGTGGACGGGTTACTCATGGTTACTCACCATAAATTTACTGACCTGATCCATTTCCACTCTTAACAACAATATCGACTGGATTTTTTGGTCTGCTATTGTTATGGCAAGTATTGTACATCATGAAATTATCCTTTTAATATTCACCAATTGTTAAATGATTGTAACTTAAGTCATACGTAATTGATGGTCTTTTGTGTGATTCTAAAAAAATTAATTAACATAAAAATGTATTTGTATTTTTAGTCAGAAGGGGCAGCGGGGCCTATGTATGGAAAGGGGCAAAGTATATGGGACTC